TTCTGCTATATAGAGGACAACCGAAATTTTGTTAAAAATTGTATGAATAATTCCTGAAATAATTTCAGTTCAAAATGTTAATTTAATAGCTTAATTTATGAAAAAATTATAATTTATATTTATTAATGGGGTGTGTAGTTACATCAAATGTTAGGCAACTTAATAAACTATGTTTACAAATCGAAAACTAATTAAATATAATCATAAAAATTTGAATAGAACATTTTTTCGCTGGCTTTTGAACCAAGAACTCCTAATAAGTTATCATTATAGGATAGCAACGTGATTATATAATTTATAAAAGCTACTTTACTATGTTAGAATTTAGAAGCAAGCTCCTCAACAAAAAACAGAGTTAAACAGAAACGATACTCAATTTCTTCAGAAGTTTGAGAGGGAAATCCCTCAAGATATGTTGCAAATTTTTAACGCAGCATTGACTGAAGAGTCTAATATCGAAAATGACCATGAGCCTGTACTTTTTTCAAAATGGAAGAAGTACGTATTAAAAGAAGACCACTTGGTTAAGTCAAACTTAGGAACTGAAGCTAGTATTGATAATGAATGCATCTTAGATATCGAATTTGAAATGAGCCCTCATGCTGATCCTCTCTTAGTTGAAAAAAGAAATGATTCTATAAGTAAAATCAGTACTTCTTGAGATCCTCTACATATAAGTCAACAAGAGATGGATTTTCCTCAAACTTCAAGACACCTTTCCCCCGTGTATTTTCGAGAAAGGCATTCTAGAAATGTTGCTGAAAAATCAGAAGTTTGGAGGAACCATTTACATGGGTCAAATATTGATGATAAAAAGAAAGGTCAAATAAGAAGAAAAACAAATAAATTACCTTTTGCACTAACTTCAGAGAAATGGCAAAAATTTGAAGAAGCTGAAAGATTTAAAAAAAAGTTAAAACAAGAGAATATGGAGAAGAAAAAGAAAGAAAAAATACTTGAAAAAGAAAAAAAGCTTCAAGAAATAAGAGGAAAAAAGGTAAACAGAAAGGTGATAAAATAATAATGGTAATAAACAGCATCGGATGACACAATGATTTAGATTTGACTGTCAAATTATAAGAAAGAATGATTTTTTTTATTTATTTTGTATTTAACATCACTTTAATTTCAGTTCATTATTACAGAAAAAAGTTAGCATTTTTCAGTACTTGTATGTAATAATTTCATAAATAGTCTTGTTTTTAAATATTTGTATGGCTAATAAATTCATAAAGAGCATTAAAAAATAACCAAAATTAAGTGTTCCTTCACTGGCAAGAGCTGTTCCTTCACTTGGTCTTCTTACTACTTTTTATTTGAACCTCTAAAACTTTAAAATAATATCATGTAAGTTCTCTAAAATTTTTTTACATAATTTGCAATTAGTAACAAATATGTTGACACTGTCATTTAACTAAAATTACGAATTTTGAAATTAATATGATTTTTTAAAAGGCAAGCGAAGCTTAAGTGTTCCTTCACTGGTTAGTTTACCCTATATATAAATATATATAGGGTAAACCAACCAGTGAAGGAACACTACCCAGTGAAGGAACATTTCATATATATTGATTAAAAATAAGAATTTGAAAGTTTTTCTTTAGATTGATTGGTAACAATAGCTTACTGCCAAACAATAGGAAGTCATCTAGCAATGTTTTGGATTACCTGGTCAAATAGACTTCTCTGGAAAAATTTTTGAATTTGTTATTATCTCTGCAACACCTTGTTTCTTTGAAAAAATTATAAGGTGAGTGTTTGTATTTATATGTTTGAAGTGGAATTAATTGCATGTAATAGTTTTATTTTTCTCACTGTGAAAAAGAGAATTCAAAATATAGTTATTGAAGTTACGTTTTTTTTTTTTTAAGCATCATAGCATAATAAAGTACTGAGATAAGGGGGTGTTTATTCACTGGATCACCAAACGATGAAAAACCAGTGAAGGAACAAGTGTTCCTTTACTGGTTTTTTTTCTAAGTTAATGAAAATAAAAGATAAACTTTAATTTTCTTGTACCTTTAGTGATGTTCCGCATCAAAAGTATGTTAAAAATACGAAAAACAACTTCTAACCAGTGAGGGAACAGGCATGTTCCTTTACTGGGCATAGATTTCCCAGTGAATGAACAGTATGTGTTAATATGTTGACACTTTAATTTTCAATTCATGATTACAAAAAAAAGTTAACATTTTCCAAGTATTTATATGTTATAATTTCAAGAATAGGCTTGTTTTTAAATATTTGTATGGCATATAAATTCATAAAGAGCATTAAAAAATAACCAAAATTAAGTGTTCCTTTACTGGGTGTTCATTCACTGGTAAGAGCTGTTCCTTCACTTGGTCTTCTTACTACTTTTTATTTGAACCTCTAAAACTTTAAAGCAATATCATGTAAGTTCTCTAAAATTATTTTACATAATTTGCAATTAGTAACAAATATGTTGACACTGTCATTTAACTAAAATTACGAATTTTGAAATTAATATGATTTTTTAAAAGGCAAGCGAAGCTTAAGTGTTCCTTCACTGGTTAGTTTACCCTATTCGAAATTTATATTTGTCCATTGATTTATTTTTAATAAGTATTCCTGCAAAAGCTTTAAAATCCATTTATATACTTTTTTTAGTTATCGATTCAAGTAGCAAGATGGTTGATGGAATTTTAAGAGGAAATATTAATTCCCCAGGAATTTATGAGGAATGTCTAAACATTAAAGTCCCATCAAAAAATTCCGAAAAACCCATGTTTCATGGACAGTATTGCCAAGTAAATATTTCTCCTCCGTTGCCACCCAAGTCTCGAAGATACAAAAATGATGAGCCTATCGAAGAGTTAAAAAATTTTACAGGATCTGTATGTATTTCCTAATATCCTAAAGTAAAATTATTTCTAAGTAATCTTTTGTATTTTTATAAAAATATATACTGAACTGTATGACTGATTTAAACCCAAAAACAATTTTATAAGATACATTTAATGCAGTGATTTAGGATTTTTACTTAGGTTTCAGTATATTCAAGTATGATCTGTGAAGTTTAATTAGTACAGAGCAATTTCTGTTCTCTACAGAGTTTATATATACGTATGTAAACGCGCACGATGCTTACGTAGCATTGCTAAATCTCTTTACCCTGCATTTTCTCTGGTAAAGGGAAAGGTTTTGTTTGTTTCAGCTTTTGAAAAAAAAAATATTAAAATCAAAATCTATGTGTCAAAAATCATGAGTCCAAAACTTACGAAACTACATTTCATATTTGCATAAATATTATTATTATTTATATACTGATAAACACATTGTAGGTTCACGGAAAAACAATTCTGATATAATAACCGTACTGTATAGTAATGACATTTCTTCTTAAAAAAAACATAATAATACCTAATAAAATCAAAATATACGGTATTTAAACCATTCATATGGTAACGGTTTACCAGAAATTCTGGTTCAAACTTCTTATAAGTTATATATTCTTTATATATCCTTTAAGTTCTTCTTACCACTAAATATTAGAAAGCTGAGAAGTTAATTTAACCAAATAAATGGTTTTTATGTCATACTCTAAGGCAGTGTTCCCCAACCCCAGGTACGCGGACCGGTACAGGTCCGTGGATCAAATGGTACTGGGCCGCTCATTTCATTGAAACGAAATGTAAATTCCTAGGTTTATACAGCAAATTAAAAATATCCGTGTTACATTAAAACTTTATTTATTTAAAAAAAGGAGCCCCCGAAGGTAGTGACATAAATTTTTTAATGTTTATAATGAATCATTGTCTCCGATTACCCCCAGATGGAACCGTCTCCAAGCTCAGGGTTCTCTTAAATTTAACGTTCTAGTAAGTTAAAATGTTAAATCACTCTATATTTGTTTTTTGGTGCAACTGTATTTTATTTTGAAGGCATGTTTAAATACAATTAAATTAAAATTAATAAATCAAAATAGTCTGAAATATAAACAATCAGCATCCCTCCCCCAGCGGGCCGAAGTAAAATTATCAAACGTTGACAGGTCCGCGGTGATAAAAAAGTTGGGTAACACTGCTCTAAGGTATCTAAGATAAAATTACCAAACTTTATCAGATATTATAAAAAGATATTTTATTGTTAATTTTGCCAAAAACATTACCAAAGTGCTTCGGTAAAAAGTACTGAGAGTTTTGGTGCTTCCATAGAGCCAGAAACATGGTAACCATATTTTGATAGTTTTGACCATGTTTTTTTCTTAGTTTAGTATTTAAAGTCAAATATAAATTTATTAATGCAATTGAACACCCCTGAAAAGATAATTTTGTAAAAATTTGCTTTTGTTTAACAAATGTACTTTATAGAAACCAGTATATGTGCTAAATATCTACCAGTAACTCTACAGTTACTTTAAAGTAGAAATTCTAATATTAGAAAATAACTTTAAGCATAAAAATACTCTTTTGTGTTATCATTTAATTGCATAAAAATACAAGGTAATATGAAACTTTAAGTTAAACCTAAACTAAACTACTTAACTTAAACTTAAACTTAGAATATTTAATGTGCATATTTCTCAGGTTCCAAATTCAAAATTTCGGAAAAAAAAGGGAAGGAAGAAGCGCATGCAAATAACAATAAATCAAAATATTTCCATTTCAAAAATACGAAGACAAGTAAAAGAGCTAACAGAAACAGTATAAAACAGTTATAAAAAATTTTTAAAAAACTTACATAAAAAGTTCTTTAAGTCTAGTTCTCCTAAAGAAGATGGGAACTCTCAAATAAAATAAAACAATAAAAGAAAATAGGAAAATGTTTAGGTGAATATTTACTTTTCCTTTTGTGTGAAGGACTGCTTGAAATAAAATGATTCATACCACCGATTGTAAATATTGCTGCAATATTTCATAGTAGAATGCAGAATTTCTTTTTTTTAAGATATTAATATATATTTAATAAACAAATCTTAACCCTACATTCATATCCTGATGAAATTGATTTGTTTTTTTATCGTTATGATTTTTTTAATACTCAGTTGTTACTATTATTAATCTTCAATCAAAAAATAAGAACATTTAGAAATAAATTAAAACTAATAAATTAATAAACCAAAACAATTAATTTTCAAAGCTTTCAAAACAAAAGACGAACTGACATTTAATACACTCATTTTGAATAATTCATAAATTCTATTTTTGGGCGGCTGAATCTTTGATGGAAAGTAATGAATGTTATAGTTCAAAAATTCTGCACATATATATTTATAACCTTAGGAAATTGTTTTATATTGTTATCCTTATGATTTATTTGAATATTCAGTTGCATTTGTTATTCAATTTTGCTAAAAAAGAATCATTCTCAAATAATTTAAGATAAAAGACAAAACATATTTACTTAACGCTCTAATTTTGAGTAATTCATAAATTCTCTTTGAATCGGCAGCATATTATTATTATTTTCATAGGAAGTCATGAATTTGTTAGTCAAAAAATCTGGACTTTTATATAATTATCCCCACGAGCTTGGCTTTTGTGTCCCGTCTGGCTGTAATACAAATGACCTTAGTCAAATAGCTGAACTAGGTAAGTAACCTTTGACATTATCTAATAATTTGTTATTTTCATTTCATTTATTAATAATATGAAGTTTCTCCTCAGCGTCAAAAGAAGTAAATTTAATGGTATCAGTCAAGTCCTGTGAAGTTAAACAAAAACCTCATTACTCAGTAGGAGCAATATTAGGAATGTAAGTTATGATCTGTTTTCTTTAAATAAAAAATTTTATAAAAATTATCTTCAAATAAATATTTTTAAAAAAATGTGAAACAATTTTATGACTAATTGTAAAATATTACATATAAAAATTTTTTAAAATAAACTATTAAGGACGTTTTTGAAAAAAATTAAATATTCTTAACCTTTATATGATTGTTTAAGTGGTATAATAATTTTTTCATTCGACCAAGTTTCTTCTTAATGTGAGGTTTCTGTGGGAAAAAAAATCTGGAAGCAATAAGAAATTTCTGCGAAAAATAGAAATATATTTTCCTCTAAGATTTTCTTAACCACCACCCTTTATATGTAATTTTTGAATCTTATTGAAAAGCAAGTAGAATTTGAGTATACTTTAAGGGTCGCAATTAATATGTATGAGAGGAAAAAACAAGAATGCATTGAAATCTGATGAATTTCATTTGAGAAAAGTGAATCAAAGAACATCATAAACAGTTTTATTAGCTGGTAAAGTTTAAAGGTACCACACTTAATTATTTTCTACTCCTCACTGTATCTTACAACTATGAAAATGATTTTGGTTTCTCCAGTTTTGCCTTCCTCTATAGTGNAGAGGTGCGCGCAAATGAGCCTGTGCAATTATGATATCTGTAAATATTTTTGTAAATAAATAATTAATATAATCAAACTCTTACTTCCTCCCCCCCAAACGAGCTACTTGACACATGAACAAATGAAATGGGATTACAACACCTCTAAGATTTTCTTAACCACCACCCTTTATATGTAATTTTTGAATCTTATTGAAAAGCAAGTAGAATTTGAGTACACTTTATGGGTCGCAATTAATATGTATGAGAGGAAAAAACAAGAATGCATATATATATATTCAGATATAGATAAGATATTCAGATATAGATATTCAGATATAGATATAAAACAAGATATAGATATATTCATTCATTCATTTTTATTCACTTATATTCATTAAGAATAGGGTCCTATATACTTATTGATATATTTATGTTTTACTTTTAGAGTTCTCCTATGTTACATGGGTTTGTTAGTTCTTTCAGCAACAGCTTGTGAGTGGGTTTTAGCAAGGAATGATATAAAAAATAGCAGTAAGTATTTTCAACAAACCCCTTTCCTTAAAACATTTAGAGAAAGATTACAGCATGAAAAATCGGAAAAAGGTGCGGAACATCACTAATAACTTAAGATTTAATTTATTAACTGCTTTTACTTAGTACGGTGACACAAGCAGAATTTTATCGCACCAACTAGGCTCACCTAATGTATCCTGTAAGTTCCTTTCAGATGGGTACATATTCTAGCTGAGGAGGTTAATCTCGCAATCTCAAGACAGACAAAGCGGGATTTCGAGTCCCAGCTTGACACCATAATATTTCCTCCTTTCCTTTCAGCACATGAAAAGTTTCCAGTGTGTCACTCCCCAAATTGTGACTCTGGACTATCAGAGTATGATGCTCTCATTCATGAACAGATGGCAGCAACGTAAAGTTACTTTACGGAAAAAAGCCTAGTATTTCCCATCTATTACGATAGGTAAAACAACCAGATAGACTAATTAAACCACATGCCACGTGTTAATAATATTTCTCCTTATTAATTATAATTTCCAAAGCTCAATAGATGGCGCTCTGCGCAGTAATGTAAAATCATTAGTTTCTAATCAGTTTCCTCCACGACACTGTACCATTATCATCATCCTTTTTGTTATTAAATATATATTATGTTAAAAGTCGTTTGTTATGATTGAAACCCCGAGATCTGAGATCATATCACCGTATTTAACACCACGGCTCATTTGATAAAACACAACTCATTCAAAAACCTAACTCTAATGGCTTTTACCTAATGAAAAGCTTCTCTCTCATGTCCAGTTAAATTTCTTCTTCTTTTACGGTTTTTAAACTATGCTAGTAGTAAATGGTTAAAATACCGTATAATTTTGCGTTTATGATTTTTTGACTATACTAGTTGCAAATGATTTCAAAACGGTAAAGTTTACAAAAATGTTCCTTACCGTAAATTTTATGGTTAACTGAATGGACAGACTGCTGGTGACCGTCATTTTACCTTAATTTCAAAATGAAAATTCTAACAGTGCACAATATTCCATACTTTCAAATGTTCTTTTAATGCCAGTGCTTTTTTAATGTCTTTTCAGATAGTTGGATGAGAATATTTCTGTGCTTCTCCTTGACAACTAATGCCAAACATTTATTTAGCACTAAAACTTCAAATCAAAGTTTAAAATGCCTTCATGGTATAAAGTTTCTTAGCATCACTTTGGTTGTGATGGTCCATAGCTACATGTATCCTTATTTTCTACTCCATGCTTACCGTAAGTAAACATCGAAAGAAGTCCTTTTTATGAATTATTACTTTGAGCGTAGAAAGTAATTAGTCAGTTTTGATTCCAGAAAGACTCTTTGATATCAATGAAAAGATGAAGGAGCCGATGAATTATATGATAATGAATACTCATGTTGTAGTGGACACATTTTACTGCATTACGTAGGTACAATTTTATTGTCTACTTATTTAAGAAATATTTATTTAAAAATTTCAAAGATAAGTTTTTTAATTAAGCCTAATCAAAACTTGAACACTGTAAGAAATTTCTCAGAAAATTGCTTAAACAACAATTTATTTAATTGTTATTTTATAAAATTCAAACAAAACAGTCAAACAACCTTAACTAAGATGGTATTCAAGCTGCTAACTGTAAGATAAATCGTTTATTAACTGATTCCCCCTACTACGGTTAATAAACCAGAATTTTATCATACCAACTAGGCCTTCTTAATAATGAAGTCACTTCCTTGGATACATATTATTGCCTAGAAGGCTAAACTATCAATCTATTGTGACCGACAGAACAGGGGTTCAAGTCCCAACGTTGACATCCTAATATTTCCTCCATTTGTAGCTCTGGACTATTAAAATCCAATATTCTCGCATAGATGGCATCACCATAAAGCTGCTTAACACAATAAATTCTAGTATTTAACATCTCTTTCGATTAATGGAACAACCAGATAAACTAATTAAACTGTATTCCTTGGTTCATTTGATAAAACACAACTCCACCACAACCTAAATCCAGTGCCCATTACCTAACGAAGAACATAGCTCCAATTTCCAGCTAATTTTTTGCGGTTTAAAATCTACGCTATTTGTGAATAGCTAAAAAGTAGTCTAGTTTCGTATTGATGTTTTTTTAACCATACTATTTGTAAATGGTTTGAAAATCATAAAGGTAAAAAATGTCCTTCACCGTAAACTTTACGGTTAACTGATTAGACAGACTGCTGCTTGTTATTTTAGCGTAATTTTAGAATGAAAATGGTTGAAGCGTAATTAAATTTTATTTAGTTAAAAACTGAAACCGATTCTCCATTTTACCACAGCTCTGAAAATTTCAGAGCATGATATACTTTAACATCGTTCAACTTTGCTGCAATCATTGCACAGAACCAAATTTTACCATTATATCGTGCAAATTAATATTAGTTTAGCATTTGCTCAACATTACGGTTCGACTTAAGCGAAAACATGATATACAAATATTATGATATGAAATTTGATATACTTTTCTAAGAGAGTACCATGTTGGCTCAAAAGATAGGTAAAAAAGGTAATAATGTTTAATACTAGCTATTTTCTGAAATTTAAATGCTTTAAAAATGTGATTCTTGATATTTTCGGATAGAATATAACTTTTTTAAGAAAATGTAAAATAATTTAATTTTTATTTTATAACCAAATGCCTCAACTTCTCATAATATATATATTTATAGAGGACTCCTTGTGTGCTACATAACACTGAAGACTATAAAGATGGATTATAAAAAACTGAACATATTACACTTCATTTTTTACAGATTATGGAGGTAAGATTAGTTGAAAACATTTTGTTCAAAACACTAAAAACATTAATAGATGATCGTCATCATGATGATCGTCATGATATGATATGATATTTAATGGAAACATACAATCGAATTAAAAAATACTGTTAATAATTTGTAATAATTTGATATAATTATTTAAAATAATTTAGATAATGATAAAAAAATTTTATATAATTATAAAAAAAAGATTTATAAGATATTCAATTTATTTTTTTAGCAAATTAAGAATATATAAAATATAAATCATTGCTATAGCTAGCATTTATTATTATTTTTCGTTCTATAGCTGTAAATAACCACAATACTAAAGAAAAACTGTTAAATTTCGTGAAAAGCTGGTATGCCAGAATAAAACCTTTTATTTCACAGAAAAATAATATTATTCAAAAACCGCACCTGTTTTTTTTGACAGATAAATACAGTTATTTTATCAAAGAAGAACTCTGCTATTTTAAATATAACAGCGTTATGCCCCGAAAGTCATATGATTCACATGCCCAGTCAATGCTGGATACGAACCCTGTTCACCTCACTGGGGAAGAGCGCGCTCTGTCCCCTGAGCCACTGCAGCTCTAGTGTTCGATTATGAAGAAAATTCTTTAACTTTCTTTATCTTAAAAGTCTTACCTATTAAAACCATATTTGAGTGTAAAAACGTTTTAAACAGCAGTGGTCCACCCTTATAAAAATGTCTGGAAATATAACTTAGCAAAAAATTATACCTAAAGATCATAGTACGATTATAATCGGGTAGAATATCAGATCAACAATGATGAAATCGAATCACGTTTTTATTTATATGATGTTTGAAACCATAAAATAATATCTGAAAAGAAGGAGAAAAATAATCGTAAAATGATTTTATAAAAAAAGATAAAATTATCTTACGGTGAGTAGAATTGCATAGCAAAAGTTTTACCTTGAATCGGTAGTTTCGTTTATGATTCGGCTGAAAAGCAGAGGGAAAGTGTTTTATTAAAAAAAACGCTTTAAATCGTCAAATATAATGAAAAAGTTGCCAAAAAAAGGAAAGGAATATTTTTAAAGCGTGTGGTTGACGATCACAAACAGAAAAAATTTGCACTTATCTTAAAAAATTTTTTTTTCCTGTAAAAAAATTCTATTTTTCTGCAGAAGACACAGCTATTTTTTACAGTCCAAATATACAAAAATGTACAAATTTTGCATACTTGCTATTTCATATTTGCATTTTTTGAATAATTTTGTCGTAGTATTGAATTTTGAGAATAAATGAGACTTAATGTTTTTGTTTTGTTTTTTTTTTTCAGATTAGCTCCTGTATATTATTTCGTTTTACTGGTGACCCAGCCAGTATCCCTGATGGGTTCTGGTCCGTATTTCAAAGATGCTATGAATTTTAGCGTCAACAACTGCGCTAATTATTGGTGGCGGAATGTCTTATTTATTAACAACTTTTTCAGTTATAATGAAATCGTAAGTATCATTAAAAATCCTACTCAAAGCTTTCTGTTATGCATAACAAATGCGACTACTAATTTTCAGGACTGATATATTATGTACCTTCGAAAATATTATGTAAGTAACGAGTTCATTTGATATGCTTCGAAACAACCGAATTTAGATAGTAATGCATTTCTGCATTCGGCTGTAAAATTTTCCGAAGCAACTTTTAAAGTCCTCTCGCGAAATGTTCTTCTATTCTGAAGTTCTTGATGACTTCAATATCCTTCAACAATTTTTCCTGATAACCTGTAGTTTTGGAAACACAAATTGTCTGCAGAATATTTGTCCGAAGAGTATGGTAAATAACATCCGAAACCAAAAACCTTGCTAAAGGAACAAGGTTTAAAGATGTAGAAGTTATTAAGGCTGCTTTCCGATGGCTCTGCCACAGCATGACCTTTTTTTTAGCAAATAATATGCTATTTATATAAGTATTGTGAGTTTTTAATAGTTGTTCACACTTGTTAGTTCACTTTTGTCTATTTTTAGCAAGCGTTACCTTTGCTCATCATTTAAATGACGCAAATGAAGAAATATTGTGAAAAAAGGCCACAGTTTTCTGAAGAAATATCTGTGATCCAGTTTCCCAGTTACTTCAACGCTTTATTATCTGGAGAGTTCATAAAAGTTTTCCAAAGTTGAGAATTATTTATTTATTTTAAAGGTGTCCAACTAGGAGAAAAAGTCTCACCAAATGAGGCATTTTTAAAAAATTTAATAACATCAAATCACTTCATCTATTCGTCTCTTGGGTCTCTCTCGCACCTCAACTCATGGCAACTGTGCACTACTTCACCCTGATTCGACTAACAAATCGCATGAGTATGAAATAACGTCAGAGCTCAAACTGAGCATAGTGTTTGGAGCACAATGATAATTTACAGGCATTGGCAATACATTTTGATAGAAAAATCTACGGGCAGATGGTATTTTTATGACAAAAAAGCTTTAAAGACACGGTCATTGACAGAAACACTTTTCGCCGGTCACTGACGGTAATTTGGGTTTGGCATTTTGTTAGAGTGTAGCAGCTAAATCATATTTTATTAATTATTATGCCTTCTCATTTGAAACAAAACATACTTTTATGATCCATGTGTTACTTTATTTAAATTAACTAGTATTATATAATTAATTAGCATTATTTTTCCTATTACACGTGCCTTCGAAGCAATAAAATGAAAGAAATCTGATAATAAGAATTCATTTTTACAATATATTTCGATATACAAAATATGTAAAGATTTCTTAGCTGATTCATTCCAAACATTTAGTGAATAAACTTTTTCATGTAATTTTAGTGTATGGTGCACACTTGGTACGTGTCAATTGAATTTCAACTTTATCTCTCGACATTATTGGTTCTGATTCCACTTATGAGGTTCGTAATTTTTTGTAAAAATTAGTCCTTTCCTAAAAACTCTTAATATTCTTTAACCCATTTCGCGAAGTACAACATGCACATAAATGTTTTTATTACGGTTTCAATAACTCGTGAGTGTGTATGAGGGATACTTGCAATAGAAATTTTGATCGCTATTTTAACTAGCAATATCCTTGAGTTTTAAATATAAACTCTATGCTGAAAGGGCAAAGCAAGTTTTAATCTTTTTCTAATCGATAAAAGTAATTTATCTCCTCATTATCGTCAAATAAAATTTATCGTCAATCAAAATTCCATAGTAAGCACACTAGTGCATTGACAAATTCAGCTCTTTAAAGCTCAAATTGTAACTACGCCTCTGTGCTTATTTGCGATGTAAAATTTAATTTTATTCAAACAGCAGATAGCAGAATTAATCATCATTCTGCCAAACGGAAATTATCATCAATAAAAATTTCAATCACTTTTTGATCAGCTGAGATGTTGAAATTCGATAGGAACTTGTAAAGCCTGATGCAGTTAAAGTACAATGGTTTTCTGACCGTTATCAATAATCTGACCGATACAGACTTTATCGCCATATCGCGATATCGAAACTTACATACTGTTATGTAGACATATTAGATTTCCGATGTAATTTTTCATGCTGAATCGAATAAAATCCAAAATCAGTGAATATAAATAATAATTTGGTGAATAGTGAACTTTATTTATTATTTCGTGAATATAAATAATAAATAAGGTTGGGAGGATATGAATAGTACTACTTCTGACCTGACTTTCTTTAAGCATTTTACGTTCGTGTCTTAGTTTGTGTTCTAACCTGTAAAGTACATATTATTGTGCATTTTTGTACTGAATTAAATGAAACTAAACAAGAGACAATAGAACGAATACATAGTTTGGACGCAGTGAGGCTTTCATTTATGCAAAGAACAATTTAAAAATAGTACTTTGTTATGAAGGAAGTGCTATTTTTAACTAAGTACTTCATCACTACTTTTGAAATATTAATCCTACTGGCTTGGTTTATTCTATTCAGCATTAAAGGATAATCCCTAATAAATCAATGGAAATAATCCATAATATGTGAATTCATTTTCTTCCCCGTTTCTCCCATCCTACCAAAACCTGAGACGCGCAAGGTAAAGTGAGTTGCAGCTTTTTGCCTCTATGAGGATGGTATTTACCAGTTGGCCACAGGCTAAAAAATGATTTTTAATGTCTGTTTCAAAACCTATTTTTACTGTGCGATACCAAATTTAGCATTTTATCTTCCTCTTGTGAAATAGGGTGGCTCTAAAGCATTAAAGCTAGAAAGATGGAGGAAAATATCTAGAAAACTGAGAAGTATTTCTATTAAAATTGAAAATTTTACATCGAAAAGTAGCAGTTTTTTTAATGTTGTTTTGAAATCATTATAATGGGAGGCAATTTTATTATTATTATCAAATTTAAACGTTGTAGAAATTATCCGAAGTAAAGTACAATTGTCTTTAATTAATAAATAATCATATATATATATATANGCAAATATATATATATATATTTTACTTTGGGTTTGACAAGTATTCAAAATATATACATTAAAGACAGTGACCACGGAAAACCCTGTATAATTATAAACATAAATTTATAGAGCTACTATTATAGTTTTACTTAACTCGTTACGTTTATATTGCAGATCACAAAAAGTTGGAATAACCATAAATATACTGATTGTAGTTGTATCCGTTATCTATACTGGAACAATGACTTATATTTATGATCTGCCAGCGGGGGCCAGTTTAACCAACATTGATAAAGAGTATGTATAATTCTTTTCATTTCTAAAATTATTCTACTTTTTTTAGTGTTTTTAGATTGTGAAAAACTAAACCAGAAGAATTTTATAAAAAATTATTGAAATGTCTTTTAAACAAATTTTCTTCTATTCACATAAATAAATAATTTATTTCCCATCAAGAGCATTAACATTCAACTACCATTTCTGAATCAACTAGTAAAATGAAAAGGTTGGTTCAAAGTCATTATTGACTGAATTAATACGTGTTTTACTACAATTTAGACAGGCCATGACATCCTGAGGGCTTTAGACTGATCATCTTGAAAAACTCAGAAATCTGTTTTGTGTAAAGTTGTTAAGAAAATTATAATTACTCAAAATGATGCACGCATAATTTAGACCTAAACTCTTGAAAAGAGTTTCACTTACTGTACTAAACTTCAGTATGAGCACTATAGAGAGTAAAAAATTATTCTAAGGAGCTTATACAAACGAACAATTTCTGGCGCCTCAACATTCAGCTTCTTCTTCAGTCCAGTATTATTATTTTAAAAATAATTCACTTTGGTAATTTTTAAATATTTATCAAAAAAAATTTTTATCAAAATAACCTAAACCAGTCTAAGGACAAAATTAACATATTCCGTGAAAGTATTTCAGTAGAAATGGTCAAATATGCTAAAAGGACATCGTTAAATAATTTTTTCGTTAGCAACGCCATCTATGAAAGAACTTTAGTATGCAAGTTTTGAAATTTGATGTAATTAAACACCTTGTTTCTTAGGCGGATAGCAGAAAATCATACATTTTTATCAATATCAGTTCTTCTACAATTTATTTTTCAAATCTTCAGTCATTTTTGACTTTCCAAGTCTCAACTCTTCTGTATTGGCCAAATTAAGCTGAAAGGTAATCTCACTAACTTATGGTAGAAATGCTGACGAAATACTGACGAATGTAACGAAGGGTAATGCTGACTATAATAATTGATAAGAATTCTGTAATGAAGGCTTGTAAAAGTTAATTCAAAAAATATATTTCAACAGCTACAATCATAAAGCACCATACATTCATAATCTTAAAACATGTATTTTGTCCATAAATATTTATTTCAATACAGAATTTGGATTCATTAAATACGTGAAAAATCGAAATTTCAGCCTGCTCGATGAGGCGTACCTGAAAACCTATGCTAATCCTTTAAGCCATGCTGGAGCTTACTTTATTGGTTTTCTAGTTGGTTACATTTTAGTAGTGAAGCCGGATGTCAAAATACCTCAGGTAAGCTTTCCTCTTTTTAATTTTCATTTGAAGTATAATAGAGCTCCGATCAACCTATCCTTCGTTTACCTTCATCCACACGTTAAAAGCATACCGACATACGTTTCATCATTATCATAGCTGATGTAACCTAGATCCCCTGAATTAGACCGACTGACTGATAGTATAGGAGCCTTAATGTAACCAATTAAGGCTCCTATACTATCAGTATCAACAATTACTGTTTCATCTTTGGACTTTGCGCCATTGAACTCCACATTCAATTCAGTTCAACATATTTGCTGCTGACTCAGCTAGAAAACGTTAATTAAGCAAATAAACATAAATTTATCAATGTAGTAGTAGTAGTAATTGATTTACGTTGCACTTGAATTGCATGATGGGCTTTTGATTCAAATACATGCCATTACAATTTTGATGCTCTGCGAAAGGGAAGGCTCTCCCCATTTTGATAACTCGAAGTCTTGTGAGCGAAGTCTAGCATTTTAAGTTAGAAAAATTTAACGAAGACCGATACCACACATCCACGGTCTTTTCACAGTCTGATTAAAGAAGTTACCCAACCGCTCACTAATAGCAGCCTGTGATGCTTGATTTCAGTGCTTTACTGAGAACCGCGTCTTAAGGATCTCCCAAATGTACCAAAAATTTATATTGTATCGTTATTTAGGATAGAAAAATAAAACAAGTAAAGGTATTTATTAAACTTTGGAATTTGATTAATCCTTACCAGCTATTTGATTACGAACACTCGTGGTGGAATAAGACACAGAGTCTATTCCAACTCCGAAACGGCCTTCCATTTAATTTTGCTTATTTAAATAGCTATAAATCTTTACCTACTCTACTCCTCATGATGGTGCGACAGTGAACACCTTAGTGCTACCAACGTAGTCAGAGTTGATTAAAGACCGGTGACGTTTAGTTCTTTATAGCTTTTTGTTTATGTTAATTGTCAGACTGCTAACCTCTTTGGAACTGGCATTTGGTATTCCCAATAATGATAATGATCAGAATCACAAAACTTTTGTCTTGTTTGATTATCTAGGTCATTGTTATTTTACCTTAAATTATTTCGTATTCTTTGATTGACGATGTTATGGAACTCCAAAGTGAAGTTGCAAGTGAATACTTCTTTTTCTGTTAGGTTTGTATAAAGTAAAGAGCTTCAACATTTAACTCAGCTAGGCATCACAATCAACCAATCTTTTGAAATTTCTTTATGTGCATTTTCTGGAATTTTGCTATTTTTTGTACGAAATTCCTAAATTTTTTAAAAATAATTTCTCAAAATTAAAAATTTGAAAAAGTGATATTTATCATGGATACATGAACCAAAAGAACAAATTCTTGATCATTTATTTTAAAATTCCGATTGGAGGAGAGAAATTGTGGTCTTGGGCTTAGAAGGAATTGGGAGCCCCCTTATATGAACATTGATTTCAAAATGTATGCATTTAACTTCAATTTCTTCTCCAATATATTTCTCTTCGTTTTATGAATCCTTAAAAATGATAACAAACGTCGAGAGCCCCTCTTGTCCGAGTAGTTATATCGCGCTGATATTTTTGAGACATCCTAACTGAACTGTTAGCTTAACGTCATCATTAATAAAATACGAAAGCACAGTCATTGTCTTAAAAAAGTAGAACTGTACTTATTTTATCTAAGATTTGTAATTTAGATTTATTTCATTCTAAATATTTTTTAATTACCACATTAAACTTACCGCACTTAGTTTTAAACTTAAATTCGAGTTAAAAACTGGATCTAGAGAAAATGTTTATGCAATGAAATTAAAAGAGTATTTGTTACATTGTCTTGTATAAATATTTAATATATTATAAATTATTTTTTTCAGAAATTCCAAATACTAGGATGGTTTGTCGCTGTGTTTTTCGCTTGGTTTACCATGTTCTACAATTCAATAAGACTATATTACGGTGAACCTAGTGATTTAGAGCTTGCAATTTACGGAGGACTTTACAGGAATACATGGGTTTTAGCAGTTGCCTGGATGACTTTCTGTTGTTGCACTGGCCGAGGAGGTTAATGCTTTCCTACATACCAAATTATTAATTTATAATAAAAAGATAATTTATTTTAAATTTCGTTTATACCAAACTATAAATTTGCAAAAAATTGCACAATAACTTATTTTACGTTTTATTTTATAATTTATACCAATATATATGAAATGCTTTTAAAATGTTTTATAACTTATATCGCCAAACGCAATTTGTTTTCGCACATGTAAAAAATTACCATGTCAACTTTCGAAAACATAATCTGCTTAAAATTTTTGAAAACTGAGGTAGAGTTTAAAAATTATCTACATCAAATTTTTGTAAACTGTGGAATAGTTAAAAACTGCAGTAAAAATATCTACTTAAAGATTTTGCAAATTATTCTAAAATTAAAAGCTATAAAAATTACCTATTTGAATGTTTTGAAATCAATGGTAAAGAGTTATCCGAAAAAAATCTACTTGAAGTTTTTTTTAAAAAAATTAAAAAAATATGGTGTGACCTAAGATTTGTTTTTAAATTTTGAAAAATAACGAAATTCTGAAATACTGAAAAAGTAATTAATTGCAGCAGCTCATAGTTATACTTAAGCAATAAACTTTCCTAACTAATGAGAAATTAAAAGTAAAAAAAGTGCTTCATTTAAAAATAGACAATAATAAAGTTAAACTTAAAACCAAAGCATAAAGGTGAAAAAATTTTTTTATTTGTTTGTTACTTTATTTATTATTTTTATTTATTTATTTACTTCTTCGAAAAATAGAATCGGAAATTTGTTAATCATACGATCGAAAACTCATATGAAACGAAAACAAATTATTTTGTTTCTAATTATTGTTGAATTTTTTTACAGGTTATATCAATGCATTTTTGTCGTGGTCTCCATGGGTACCTTTAGCAAAACTTACACTCCTCATATACCTTATTCAACCTACTTTACAATTACTGTTTACTGGTGTTTTCAAGTCACCGCACGAGTACACACACTATGAGCTAGTAAGTTCACAATTATGGATATGTATAAATTATAAATTAATCTTTTTTCAAATAAGTAAGGAGATTATGAGCTAGTACGCTCGTAAATATGGATTTGAATAAATTATAAATGAATCTTAATGCGAGTTAACATATTATGATCTAGTAAGTTCATAAATATGGATATGTGTAAACTGTAACTTATTTAAAGTTAATATTATGAGTTAGTCAATAAACTGGATATTCCTTAAATATCAACCTTAATAAGTATTTTTAAAATTTCCATCAAAAATGAAAGCGAAAAAGCATTGGAGGTCATAAATTTTTAAGGAAGGGAAAAAATAAGAATGCTATCGCAATCTGACAAATTACAATAGCAAAAGTTACAAGAATGAATCTTCGTGATAATATTAAAATTCTTTTTTTTTATTTCCAATGAGCTGCACAATTGGTCTTGCCAATGAGCAGACCAAGTGCGTTCTCCAGAGGTGGTATCCACTCTTTCAGGACCACCACAATGGGTGAGATACCGTTGGTCATGTTAATTTGGACGTCTAGTTTCTATCACACTAGATGGCAGCACCGAGGCTCTATTTGGATGCTAAAGTGCACTAGGAATTTAATTTTGCCGGAAATGCCAAGAGCCAATAAGGCACTCCAGGGATCTTTTACATGCCGCATAATCATACGACATGGCTGCTGAGGATTTTCTGCATCCCGAAAATCTGGCGTCTGGGCCGGGGATCGAACCCGCAGATTTGGGCTCTGAAGGCCAACGACAAACCAACTGCGCCACCCAGCCACATATATTAAAATTCATTAAAACAACGTTTTAAATTACAAATGATAGAATTTTTTATTAAAACAATGGTAATCGTTTCATGGTTTCGCAATGATACACCTTCATCAGTAGGATAAAAGACAGGAAAGGTAAATCTGTTGCTCAATCAATGAACTGTGGAGTCGCAAAAGTTGTCGCGTTATATCTCGCGCTGAATTCATCGTGATGACAGTTCGTCCTGGGCACAATTCGTACAGGAGCAGTGCGTACGAATTCGGCAGAAATTCGTATGCACAATTTATCGCGGCAACAATTACTCATGAGCCTAATTCATCTCAAGCACAATTCGATGTGAATACAATTCGTCGGGGGCCCAATTCGACGCTGCCTCAACTCGACAAATCGTTGCGAACACATCGTTCTTGTGATTTCGATGAAATATCTACATAGGAAGACAAAACTCTTGCATTGTCTAGTAGAGCTAACCAAAAATTCAATTTTTGAAAAAATAAAAATGGAAAAAATTCAAACAAAATATTTTAAATGTTTTTTAATATAAAGATCGAATTCTTACACAGTATGGTGCTATCTCAATGATTCAAGACTCAGATCTTAAATGGAGCTAATTGAACGCCGCGGGCTATAGAAAAATAATGAAGACATGTGAAAACATACAATAAAAGCTCGCTATAACGAATACAGTATATTATGATAAATCTAGTATTATGACAAATTTCCAAGTGGCCATCAAAATCCTAACATTAAATTGTACTAATATTAAAAATTTTATGTTTATAAAGAGTTGAAATTTACAAACCTTCCGCTGCTACGGCAGAATTTTTATCAGGAAAATACATACTTCTTCTGTTTAACTGAGTACTATTGTACAAAAATTTTAATGAAAGATATTTTAATTTATTTCTGCTATAAATAAAAAGAATAGCAAAAAATGAACCCCTTACTTTTATGAAGTAATGTGGGTAGGATCATTGGTTAAAGTTATCTTCTTCCCAACAGAAGAAAAATATTACTGCTGTTTTTAAAATTCCTGCCTCGCACTTCAAAAAAAATACACTTTTGTAACCACATTTCCATCATTCTCCATTATTTCCCGAAATTATAACTTACTGTTAAAATTAGCATTCACATTTATCAATGGCGTCAAAAGCTATTGCACTTTATTTTATTTATCACCTTACAAATACTTCATAATTTCACCAATTCCGATTTGGAAACTAGTTGTTCAACCATTTCTGTTCTAGACACTTCTGCATTTCAGGAAGTACAGAGCTATGTAATTCAGTCTAAAATATGTAGATACAAACAGCCTATTCTAGATATGTAATTTAAATTAAAATAACTATCCATAATAAAAGTTAAATAGGTTTCGTTATAGCGGAGAAAAATGCATCTTAACTAAAAACAAATATATTTTTAAGACGGATTCATATTTTTGGTTTAAATTATAATGGGTAACAAATGAAAATGTATTCCAAACAGTGTAACTAGAAAACTCGAGCTTATTAGTGTTAATCGTACTTTTTGTACATCACCATATCTCTAAAACTATTTCAGGAAATTTTTAAAAAAATATTAGCATCAGTACTAGAAGTCATATGCAATGGGAAAACAAATTTAACCCACCCAGAGCATCAGCAACATCCAGGGACATATAAAAAAAGCCTTGCACCCTCCAATGGATCCCTGTCCATGAGGAAATGGGTGCTCAAACGTCTTTGCTAGAGAAGCCCGAAACTTTTATCAGACCCCCACCATCACCTCTGATGACGTAAATGCAGTTGCCAAACTCAAACGGTACGGGCCACTTCAAGCACATGAAGATTTCTTCGGGCAAGACCAGAATATACCCCATACGCAGATATTACCCTAAACCCAATTACCGCCACAATACATTTACAACTGTCAAGCCATTTTCTGTTTCCTTTTTGATTAAAGTTCTAAAGATACGTTTAAACGGTATGTACGGACACCCACGATTATAAACATTATAAGCTAGTAAGTAGATAATCATGGATACGAACAAATGATGAATCAGTATATTAGAGTCAGTATAATGACATTATGGACTATCAATTTTATTATTATGGACATGCACAAATTATAAATTAATCTTACTTCACAGACTAAACTTGTTTCAATCTAGTGTGCAGATTATTACGTTATATATTAGAAACGGAACTTATTTATAGTTAGTTAGGATATTATGAGCTAGTAAGAGCAGTATGGTTAAGGATAAATAAAAAACAAAACTTATTTCGATAGAAAATTAATGCTTCGTAAAGTCTGTTGATCCTTAAAAATTGTTCTTTAATAACGTTATTATAACCATTTCAATCACCTGTGAATCAAAACTAATAAATATTCACTTTTTTTTAAAGGTTATTGTTTATTTTGGCCTCCTCCTAATGGCTGGACTTTTAGCTGTTGGCTGCAATTTACTCATAGAATCTCCCTTATTGGCTATTGAAAAAATACTTCAAGAATCATTTGCTGGGCAGACTATAGTGATTGTTTCAGACACTTATGAAAGTAACATGAACGGCTTCTCAAAAACAGATGCCACAACGGATCTGAAAGATTTCAAAGACATTAAATACGAATACAGTATGGAAAATAAAGCCTTTGATGAAGTTTAGATTACCCTATACTAGAATGTACTGAGCTTCTTGCTCTGCTGATTTTATAACTTTAACATGAGTACAAATAAAAATTTCTATGCATTTTACTTTTGTTACCACATTAAATTGATTTTTTTAACATTTTCACTGAGAAACGGATTTAAAATTTATAATTTATCCGGAGGTGATCAACATTACCCATGCCACACTGCCACAAACCCGTTCATAGGGTGGGTCACATTCACACATCACACACAACAGAGGACAACACAAGAGAGAAACATCCGTGCCAGAGCAGGATTTGAACCCGCTGCCATTGGCTTCGCATTCAGCGCGCACTAACCGCTCGGCCAGGTGGCCGAGCGGTTAGTACGCCTGACTGCGAAGTGTTATTTCGTAAGTGTTATTTCGTAAGTGTTATTTCTAAGCAACACAACTTTGGCGATTTATTTTAAATTTCGATTTAAAGGATATATTTTTGTTTTTACCCTATGGCGGTATTTTTATTTATTAAATTTTTATAATTTATTTATTTATTTGTCGTTTTATTTTGTGCATTTTTAATAAATATTTTTATTAAGTCAAACTTTTAAAAATAGGGTATAAAGCTGCGAGTTTGGCAAAATTGTACAGTATGAAATGAAGTACTGTGTGCAGAAATAAATAAATAAATAAATAAAAATAAAATTTAAAAAAAAATAAAATTAAAAAAAAAAGAAAAGAAAAAACGACCTACCTTAATAACTTGATTTTTGATAATTGGCTTTTTGCACCCTAGGACTCAATGGTTCAGAGGCTTCACCTTCAAAAAATTAAATGCAGACGATAATTTACGTAGCGAAATCCGATACGAAAACGTATTTTCTCTTGAATCCGCTACTTTTTTTTTAAGTTACTATCTGCTCTTATGAAATATACACGTGTAAAACTCTTCTTCAATTGAAATTAAACTAAAATTAAAGAACCTGGTGGAAAACATAGAATCGAATTTACTACAACTGCAAACACTGGTTCAAAGTAGGACATCTCTAAGTTTTAATTAATCTATTATTAAAAAATCCCTAAGGCAAGTATGTATTGTTGCTGAGTGGTTTAGAGATCTTTTTTCGAACTAAGAAGTCGCCTTTCAATTCCAGTTGATGACAGTTTCTAATTTTCATCATTTCTCAATATTGAAAAACATTTTGTTTTTTATTTAAAGTGTATATAATTAAAAAATAACTGCACATTTAATTTAGCAATTATTTAAAACAAAATTTTAATCTTTAATATTTTTAAAATTATTTTTTTTTTAAATATATATAATAAAAAAATAACTGCTCATTTAGTTTAGCAATGATTCAAAAAAATTTTTTTTTAATCGTTAACATTTATTTTTTGTTTGCTACATAGTTTTGTTTAAAAAAATGATAGAGAAATTGAATTGCTTTTTAAGTTAAAATACTTATTGAGATAAAAAAAAGTAATTAGATAATTTATTTCAAAGAAATTAAAAAAATATTCTGTTTCGCCTTAATAATAATTCGCCCTTTAATTATTTACTCTTCCAAATTAAAACAAACTTCATCTCTTCAATATTTCTATTTAATTTTTATTTATTTTTCTTTAGTTTTTATTTATTTCAATTACAAAAAAAAATAATAAGTGTTTTTCAGAAAAAAACTTATATTATTTATTTAAAAAATTTTTAGACATAAAAACTTAAATTAAATTAGTTATTTAAAAAAAATCGTGTATTTCAGTTCAAAAGATTAAATTAAACATTTTTAAATTTTTTAATTTCAAAAACTTAAGATTTTAAATCAAAATAATTAATCATTTAATATGCAGGGTTTCTAATAAATACTGCGTCCCTAAATAACCTCTCGTTCTAAAACTGGAAATATGGTTCAATAATAAAAATCGTTCATTTTCATCAATCATTTCATGTTATTTCTTGTAACGTTAAAAAAAAATTTTAAAATTCTTAAACGACCTCGGATATCAAAAAATGTTAATGCAAAAATTTTTTCCCGTAAAAAAGTAATAAAAATGGTAAAAAGCACGTCATCCTAATTTAAAAATTAACTGAGATATCGATATTTAAAGTTTATATCCTATATTAAGGAGAACTTATGCTTGATGCTTGTTAGACTGAAACATCGAGGAAATGAATGATTAGAAAAAGAATAAACGACAGTGAAAATCGTTTGATAGAAATGATATTGTAATTAGATCTACTCATAAAATTTAGGACCTTTTTTTAATATTTTATCATTTTGAAAATATTAGTTTGTAAGAGATATAGTAGTTTTTTCGTTTTATTTGGTATTTTTGACAATAATCGAGACATTTTGCGTTAGTAAAGGGATTAATAATAACCATCATTATGAATATTTCTCAATTTTCAAAAACGCTTGTGGTAAAAGAAATTTAAAAAAGTAAAAACCCATTTTTTTATCGTTGCGTAGTAAAATTGATTATAGGTTATATAAAAAAAACGTTAAATTAAAGAGAAAGTCATGTAATCAAATATAGAAAATTTTTCACTTAGAGCATCAAATGATGGATAAGTTCATTGTCCAACTAAAATAGTTACAGCACTACAGCGGTTGTCTGGAGAACATAAAAAAAATTTTTTATATCATTTATTGCATAAAAAGAAGTAAGATTACTCCTTACCATCAAGTTTTTTTTTATTTTTAAATTGCTTAAAAGTTAAAAATATATATTTTAATAATAATAAATTAGAAATATATTATTAAAAATATAATTTTTAAATTAAAAACATAAAAAATAAAGTTTAGTATCATGTGGAAAAATGTACTGCAGAAAATGAGTCATTTTATTAGAAATAATAATGAAATAAAGAAATCCCATTTAAATATTACTAATGTGACGGAAATAAGTAACTAGTACTAGTTAATAGTTTATTCCATTATTGTTTAAATTTAAGCAAGGGCAGTCATGTGAAATATTTATTAGTTTTAAAAATTATTATTTTTAAAGTTTGTAAAGTGTTCGAAAAAAAATCTTAAAAATTTCACACATTTGTTAACTTTTTAGTTATTATAGGAAATAGGGATATTTTTTCTTAAATAGGTAAAATTCAAATCACCGCTTTCAAGCACTTGGGGGGCATCCAAGCACTTTCCTTATCGTGATCTGTGCCAAAATAATCGTCCAGTCATTCAAAACAGTGCGATGGCCGGCCGCGAGCACCCTCGAGAAACTAAAAAAATAACACAGAAAGGGAGCAATTCATGTTTTTTTTCCTCTAAAAAATTTAAAATCCATTTGGAGACTGTCATTAACGTGACAGGTCACAATACGGAAATAACACGGTTATTTGATTTAAATTTTTAACATTTATTTTTTAAATTTTTTTATTCACAATTTTTTTAAATATACAACAATATAATTTTTATAAATTATTATTATATTAATTATGTATCTAAATTTTTATAAATAATTTAGAATAAAAAAAAATAGCATGTTTGTTTTCTGTGTATTTTAAATTAACAAGACAGGCAGATCACAATTAATCTCAAAAGAATTCCAATAAAGAAATTAAATAAAATCTACTATCAGAAAATAAAAAATTTGCCAAAATGTATAAATAAAAATATGTAAAATGTTTAAAATATGAGCATTGTTGATGAATTCTTTGAAACCAATGAGTTCAATGCGTTCTTTTGAAGTGGAGTAATGTTCTAACAATTTAGGGTATTACAAATGACAAATGGATCATGAGTTTTGGTGGCCATTATCAGCACTAGCATTTATAAAACACCCAAAATGACGATCTAGTTTAGCCTTACTTTTTTATCACAATACGAACAATAAACTCAGCGACGAGTTTAAACTTAGGAGAAACTGGATATTTNCCAATCACAATGCGAAAAGCCCATTGATCGGACGTTATCATTTCCTTGTTGCCATTCTGTAGTAGAAACTATGGTTTAAAATTAGTTACCAATTCCTTAAAAGATAGAGAACCGAGAAACTGTTTACCGCTCAGAAAAACAAACAGATCTAAATTAACCCAGAAATAAGTAGTCGGAAACTGTAACTGAAGCACCAACTGAAAAATCTGAAAAGTATACAAATAATAACAACAACTCACGATAACTATGAAAGTTAACAAAACAATCTGTTTAAAAGTGACCAATGTTTACATTCGATATTTGGCATCAATAGATTAGTGAAAAAACAATCCAAACAAGTGTTATTTCTAGTTATTTTATCGAAAACTTTTATGCTTGTGAAAGTTATAGCATAATAATTGCTATTGCGAAATGGAATGCAGAAATAAAGTAAATAGTGCATTTTTAAACTGGTAATGACACGGAAAATAATGGATATAAAGCCTGCTGAAATTGTGAATATTAGAACGTCTGATGTAAAACGCTATAATTGTATTGTCTGTGGTAAGAATTTCCCAACACATTTTAAACTGGTATGTCACTGTCTTATTCATACAGGAGAAAGACCTCATGCGTGCGAGATTTGTGGAAAAACATTTCGCCTCAAAGGACATCTTAAAGAACATTCAGAAATGCATTCAAATTTAAAAGCCCACTGTTGTGATGTGTGCAATAAGTCATTTTCTGTAAAACAAAGTTTAAAATCCCATAAGAAAGTCCATACTGGTGAAAGACCTCACTCATGTGATATTTGTAACAAAACATTTTGGAGGTCATGTGACTTAACTAGTCATAAGACAGTACATACTGGTGAAAAGCGTTACTCTTGTGAGGTATGCTCTAAAAAGTTTTCAAGAAAAAATAATCTTAATGAGCATTATCGTATTCATACTGGTGAAAAGCCTTATTCTTGTACTGTTTGTCAACAAAGCTTTATTCGCCTCAGTCAAATGAAAAGGCACTCTGTAACACATTAATCTCTCTATTTTAAAATATTTAATTTATTATTTTATGATGCATTTGTAGGAAATCTTTTAGTATTACTGAGAAACAAAAAGCGGTCAAAATTTCCTTATCGTAACGCTGGCAGGGATCGATATGAGAATTTTTTTCTCTGCTGTGTACAACAGCACTTTTTCCATGATTATGTCATTGCATCTGACTCGTTGCATGCTGGTATCAGGAATAAGTTGTTTTTCTTTGCTAAATATGTAATGTACTTCAGGGGTCTGTCCAAGCCAAATTTAATACCGTTTAGGGGTACCTTCGCAAATTCAACTTTAAAAAAAACGGTAGTTTCACAAAATACCTACTTTTTCTTAAAATTTTATTTTTGTGTCTCGTAAGGAATGATAAATCTATATTTTTACAATATTTTTGTGTTGATTTTTTAATATAATTTTTAATCTTCACAAATTATGTCTAAATTTTCACAAAATAGGTACCTCTCAGAGAAATCTAGACAGACTCCTGTACTTTTTAATTTTGTTAGGTGCTAGTAAATTCAACTATATTTTTTATTTTTATATTTTTTAAGAGAACCTTGATTTTGTTTTGTGGTACAAATAACAGATAAAAAATAGTTGCATTGCCTGGCCAATCAATAAGTACCTCTGATGGCAAAGAAAATGTTACCAGTTTTTGTTTTTAAAACATATGCTTCAAAACGGCTATTTATTTTATTATTATATTTATATTTTTGTATCTTTATAAAGTGAGATTTATTTTTGTATTTATTTTTATACCAATTGGTTTTGTTCAGTTGATCTATTGATATAAATAAAGCAAAATGTTTAAATGTATGCATGAGTGTATATGTACTGTATGCAAATCTGCAACTCTGAACCATTCTGCATCAAATTTAATGTATATGCTTTTGTTGATCAGTGTTAAAAAAAAATTTTTGAATAAATGGACCACCCTGAATAACTTTTAATCTAATGATCAGACATTCTATTACTCAATATTAATAATTTGAGAACGTGACCTCAAATATGCTAATAAATTAGTGCAGACGATATTCTAAATTACGAATTCAGACACAAAAGTGTACACATCAGGCACATAAACATACCCTTTTTCTGATAGATTTATATTTCTGACCTTAAAAAGATAGAGGGTAGTCGCAATTTGAAAATTAGGGTCACAATAGTCTGGTCAGAAGAGCAGCCCAAATTTTGTATTCCTTACTGTTAATTTTACTTCTTGCGTATATCGCCGTGTCTCAAAAACTTTTTAAGTGACTTGAATAATTTTTGCACGCAATTATAAAATTCTATTATCCAAAGATATTTCCATGTGAATAATAACTTTTAGTACATATTTATTATTTTTTAGTATTTAATACTTGTCGAAAGAATTTTGAATTGTAAGGTGTACAATATTTTGCTTCATTTTAGAGAATGGAACTTTACATGACAAAATACATTCAGCAAAATCAGTCGAATAGTTACTGAGAAATTGAATTTCTCAGGAGCAACCGATTTCGCTCAAATTTTGTCTTGTGAAATAATGTTATTTAAAATAATGTAATAAATTATGTACCTTACTCATCAAAGCTTTTTTTTTGCTAATATTAAATTAAATAATAATAAATATCTATTAAAAATTATTTCATGCATGAAATTATCTTTTGATAATCGAATTTTATATTTGTTTGCAAAATTTTTTCAATTCGCTTAAAAATTTCTCGAGATACCGTGAAATATGCAAAAAGTAAAACTAACATGAAGAGGTCTAAACATTGAACCACTCTCCTGAGGAAACTACTCTGACCCCTATTATACAGATTGTGACTACCTCGGATATTTTGGTGGGCAGAAATCTGAATCCATCGAAAAAATGGTAGGTTAAAACTGTATTGTTATTATTTATTTGTAATAATATTGCAATCAAAATTATATATATGTGGATGTACAGGGATTCCGCGAACCTGGAAAGTCATGGATTTTAGTATTGAACAAAATTTGTCATGATTTTGACTATTTTTTTAAAAAAATCATGAAAAGTCATGGATTTAGGTTGCTGAAAAATCTAATTTTTAAAAGGAAATTTACTCCCTCCCCCCAATTTCATGGTGTTCCAAATATCTGAATTTGTAACAAAATCCCACTCAGAGTGATATTTGATTAAAGTATAAAATGTTTTTATCGTGTTCTTTAAAAATTATGGTGTTCTTTCAAAAAATGAAAGAAAAGACATATTTTCTAGACCAAATTATCTTTTAAACTTCTGTGATTTCAGAATATTTGTTATTATTTTTTATTTTTTTATTTTATCAATTTAAAATTCTAGCTGAAGCAAGCCAGTCATTGGCGAATTTTTTTATTCTGAAATGAGAAATCAGGAGTATTTCTTTCCTTTCCGATGAACAAGAAAAGTATCTTTAGAATGTAATTCTGCAGAAGAAAAAAGTTATTTGCTTCTCTATTTTTTTCAGTTATTTTATTGCTTCAACTCTTTCTTTACTCTGTTTTTTAAATTTAAAATCTATAAATATGAAGATGCAGAGTATAACAGTTTTAATTTTACCTATCATTTCAATTAATGTTATTATAATGCTTATTTAAATTTATTGTTGTGTTATTGTCGGAGAAAATAGTAACTTCGTTAAGTCATAAAAAATTCTTGGAATAAGTCATGAATTTAAAAATCTAAATTGTAGCAGATACCCTTAATGTAACTAATTATAAACTTAAGTTTATAAAATGTCAATTTAAAAAATCTGATTTAAATGGATAAGACCTGATTTAAATTAAGTAAATTGGATTTTTTTGATCTTGCAAAGTAAATAAAATAAATCACATACTCCATTACCTCTCTTAGGTACTGTAGCACTACAGTATCTATATTAGTATGATAAAAGTAGCATTCATTACCACAATTGAGTATCACTTTCATCTTATAATAGTGTAGCAATTTTTTACAATCCTTTTAAATGGAATAGTATCATTCATTAAAAAAATTCCATGAAGCTAATTGATACTTTGTTACTAACTTAAAAATAAAGAGGAACTATTTGGAGATAACTCATGTGGCCTATAATTTCCTTTTCATGATATAATTATTACAATTACTATCTTTTCTGTACAATATTTTTAATTTATGAATAATTGTTTAAAAACTTTTTAAGATTTCCTAACTTAAACAAAAATTCCATCCCAATTTCTCTTATATATTTTTTTAAATTCAAGTATACGTTATTTGTAAATTTAGGTTAGAAATAATGTTCCGGATTAAAATTCTTTTTTAATTTTAATGTATTTTTTATATTATTTTAAGACAATTTTTTGAAGTTGGCCGTGATTTGCTAGCTGTCTTTAATTAGCAACTAGTAGGGTATATAGCTGTTTGCAGGACCCCTGTTGCTATTGACAGTAGTGATTTAAATGTTTCATTATCAAACTAACAGTAACGTTTTCTTTCTTTTTTGCAACCTCATCTTTGATTTAAATGTGAAATTTCTCTCTATATAAATATGTACACAATGCTGTTGTGTTATATCATAAATTTAATTAAAGCTATTTATAAAAATGAGTTTAAATTTATAATTCTTAAAAATATATTAAACAAAAGTAAGATATTCTGTATTAAAAACAAACATTTTTAAGAAAACAGCTTATCAAAATGTTTTGATTACTTGGACGAAATTCTGGCTCATTATCTGCTGTGCCTTTCCCTCAAAAGAGTCCATTGTGACTTTTTCAAAAAAAAAATCTCTCCAAAACCTGTACAATGAGCGCGCGTAAAAGATTTTCGAGTAACATTTACAATACAATTTTATCGAATAAGTATTTATTCGTTGCCAACATTAATTCTTCGTTTTCTCTTTTCACACATAAAACTGGATTTTATGACCCTTTTACACTGTGGCTAGTTCATCTTTGTTCTTTTCAACTCCCTTGCTTAATTTCTCTTTCGCCTCATTTTTAGTCTCTTGTGGGACTAACGGGTTGTAAATTCCTTTCATCAGTTTGATTACCATGTGTTGCAAGTTGAAGGGCGTCCTAAAGAATGATCGCAAATGAACACTTACATTCAACCAATAACATTGTTGATAATCTATAGCATTGAAAGGAAGAATTTGTGTGTTTCTTTTATATTCAAGTACCGTTTTTGCCTTGGTCCTGGAATTTTATCAGCGGGTTGGTACAGGGAGCAATTTTAGGCCACGAACTTAAGAGTTGTTCAAATATTTTAGTTTATCCATTCAAAAGGAATGTGTTAAAAAAAAATTCTCATAGGTTTAGGTTTTGTATTGTCGTAATTGAAACTGCAGCCCATACTTTTTTCTTCCAATATTATTCAACCAAGACAAGTAGGCTGGTGGCGGGAAAGCATAGTGCGGAGGAGTTAACTTTTTCACAATTGGAGAAAGTTAAAACATAGAATATAAACCAATTTTATTTTTTTTTGGCGAGTGAATTGATAAAACAAAAATTTTAAATTGCGGTAATAAGAATAGATAGAAAATGCACATTTGGGAGGGGAAAAAATTCACTTGGAATGTAAAAAGACGGCAATAAAACATAAAATGAGTGGTATATTCATTTTCCTTGTTTGTCTTTTGCTTCGATTTATTGGACCTTCTCCTGAATCGCTGGAATAAACACTACCAGTGCGCTTAACTCTCTCTTAGTATTCGCCAATTCGAGATGGGTGAGCCTATGGCTGGCAAACATAACATTAGTTATGTTTGCCAGCTGATTGCTTTCTTTAATCAAAAGTAAATTTTACTGCGAGTTTATTGCACGTTCCTTAATAATTATCTCTCTTTCCTTCTTCATGTTTTCATTCACAACTAAATCAATGTGGTTGGCATATGAGGGCTACATCCCCAAATGAGTATTTTGAAAGATATCTGAAACCTTGCGTACGTCAATAATAAAAATTAACGGTAAGTGAGATTAAAATATAATAAGTTATGTGCTAATTTATTGGGAAAATTACTTTGTTGCTGTAAACTGCAACTATCACGAGTTCTCTGTGGTCAATAGCATACTTTTCGGTGCCGAACAATACTGATTATAGTTAAACTTTATTTTGGTGAGTTGAAGTTCTAAAAGCATGTATTTCTTAATCTAATAAAATGTTATTAAATAAGTATAAAAGAATTTTTAGCGGTCTCAGTATATGTATTTTACTTTCGTGCTTGATTACGCAGAGTTAATAACGATCTGATAATTATTTACGATTTTTTTTCTGCTTCTTAAGTTACCGATACTTTAAAATTTTATTTTAATTGAAAAATTGCCCCGTTGTAAAAATAAGTGGGCTATTTTTATGATGGTTATAATTCGAATTCTATTTATGATTTTAAATTTATTTTTTTGTGATTTATAAATTCAAAAGAGAAGTACTGGAAACAAAGCTTTACTCTCCCATAGTCAGAATTTTTGAAAGTAATTAAATAATATTTCATTCTGTATTTTTATTTTTCAAAGAACGGATGCATAAAAGTCTTAAAAATTTAATTTTTTTAAAAAAAATTGTTAAGAACAGTTTTGTTTTTCAGCCACCATGAACATCACCAAAACAGTCAGTCGCTGTTATCCATTGATTATTATAAGGACATATTGAGTTGTTAAAAAATCACCCTGTGTTATTGGAAACAATTGACCAATAAATTCTCCAGCATTTGAAAATGCAACAAATTGCATTTTGAGCAGCCGCATAAGATGCATTTCATTCCAACTACCTCCCACCTGCCTCGCTTAATTTCTGCGTCTCTTTGTTTTTGGAGGTTTTCGGGGTTGATGGGTCGCGAATTCCTTTCATCATATTGATCACCTTGTACTGCAAGTTGAAGAGCCTGTTAAAGAACCATCTCAGTTGAATACTCTAAACTCAATCAATTTGTACGACTTGGAATTTTAAAAAAATTTTTATACTCCTAATGCGATTTAGAACAAAATTATTTAAGTTGGTAATCCTTTCTCTTTTTTTTTTAAATTCAAATGTTGCCCTTGGTTAGTAACTCAAAACTCCTTAATAACTTTTAAATATCTTGCATTTTGATGACTTGGTAAAATGTGACATATTTCGGATTAATTAATTAAATGTATTACAGTTAGATATAAGTTAAGCTTTCGCCATTAGCGTGTGGAGAGTCATAGAAGAAGAAGGAGGTACGTTAGTTTCTGTCTTGATTTTCAAATAGATTAAAATCTTTTGAGTTCGAAAACTATATGTAACTAAAAACAGCATTAAATAAAGTTCTATAAAAAAGCAACATGGAAATTTAAAAAAAATATTTTTAACAATCAAATACGAAAATTTGAAAACTGGTATAACTATTCTAGGGAATATCTTATCCGCCATACCAATTATGTTATGCTATCTCGATCCTAAAACTAACTATGCGATTAATACACTTTAAATTAATGATTTAAAAAACAACAACTTAGAGTTGCAGGTTACGTGTCCATATGGTGAAACGAAAATTTTCAATCCATTTTTAATTTAGCACGTTTTCTTTCTTTATTTTTTGCGTGTTTCTTAGCCTATTATATCTTCCATTCTTTTCGTTGTATCTTAGATTTTATTTTCTGTTAGTTTTTCTTGCAGATAAAAAATAATTGTGCGTGTTTGAGATTCAAATTACATCAGTTAGCTGCTATTTCCTGTAGGTGTCATTTTACGAGTAAAAGTTGATCTAAAAATATTCAATCGCAATACGTTATAAAAATAAAAACTGCGTTCTGGTTGATTTATTATAAAACGAAAAATTGTTTAATGGGTCTTAATGTTTTACAAAATAGGACATATTCAAATTGTATTTTATAATATATGCTAAACAGTAAACTCCCTATCATCCGTGGTCCTGTCTTGGAACAAAAAATGACTTGTACACGAAGCTAAGATGAACGCATTATTTGAATTTTGTTAGTATTTTGTCCGTAAGAGATTCTTTTGCAAGACTCTGTTTCACGATATTTTTTCTATTCCTCGATATTTTGTCTAAACGAGATTAGGTTCCATAATATTTTTTTTCTCAACGAGTTTCTGTTCCACGATATTTTGTCTGAACTTGATTGTGTGCCAAGATATTTCATCTAGATTAGATTTTGTTCTATGATATTTTGTGTAGACAAAATTTTATGTTATGATATTTTGTCCCGACGAGATTCAGCTCTGAAATATTCTGATCAAATATCCACTGTATTTCTTTTATATTTGTGCTGCGTTCTAAATATTTTCTCGATCAGTATGAGAAATTCCCTCGATTTTTCTCTCTATTCTGGGGATAATCCAGTTTTAAAATAGATAGTCTATTCTACTGGTTATGGTAAACCGGAATAACATATTTATGGAAACAATATTATGTATAATTAACTCTAATTTAAAAGTTTATTTGTTTGAAAAACACTTTAAAGTCCTTTTTAGTTTCCAATTTTTATTTACATACATTTTATTTTTATTGTAAATAAAATTACAAGCATGGTCTCATCTTTAAATAATACTTTAGAATTTTAAAAAAAAGCGTTAAAAGTGACAAAATGATGAATACAGTATTTCTTATTATCAGCATTATATTTAAATTTATATCGGCAAGATATTGGTACAATACATTAAATATTTAACATAAAAATTATTTAATTACAAAACTTCACTAAAATGAAATTCCAGTAATCGAGTTATTTAACGATTTATGTTTTAATTTTTAAAGGTAGAGAAGCGCAGATATAAGAAAAGAGACAATTTATTTAATTTTGTATATTCAAGCAGTAATTATTTCACCAATTTTTAAATTTACTTTTTAATATTTTATGAATTGTTTTCAGTGATACTTTATTAACTTTAAAAAAAACTGTGTTTACAGCAAGTCAAAAAGTTTAATATTTCAATAGTTTTCAAAAATTTATTTCTAGAAGACACCGAACTTTTTCTTTGAATTATTGAGATGGTTTAATTACGTGCCACAACAAATATTCTGTTTGAAAGCGATTTGTTTTTCCTTACATTCGTCTTATTATTATTATTTTTTTAAATTTTAAATATGTTATTTGCATATATATATAAGTATTGCCCTTTAGCCACTCTTTCTTGCAAGAAAATCTATTTCTATTACTTTTTACGCAATTTTAGAAATTTTATTGCTTTATTTTCTATTATCCTAATCTAGTAGCAAGATATTGTTTAATTTTTTCATACCAACTAGCTGATTTGGTTTCTTTTTGGCTATCATCTTCATCCAGAATTTGAACAATTTCAACGAAATCTTTTCCATCATCACTAGTAAAGAGTACTTTGCCCTCAGCTTTTTCTACAGTCTTGTCATCATCGTCATCTTCATTTTTCTCTGTTACTTCATCATCATCATCTTCTTCATCACTTTCTTCTGAATCTTCGTCTATATCTATTTCTTCATCTTTATCCGTTTCTTCTTCTTCACTCTCTTCAGTTTCAATACCAGACTTTTCTTCACTTTCTTTCGTTTCTTCATCTCCTATTTCTTCTGCATATTCTACTTCACTATCATTTATTATATCTTCATCCACATCGTCTTTTGCTTCTTCGATTTCATCGTCACTTACATCATTCTCCTCGGGTAAACTATCGATGCCAACTGATGAATAGTCTAAAATAGTAATTGATAGTTAAATTAAACAATATATAGAGTATTCCATAAAAACTACACTTAATATGCATTTTATCCTTATCGGAAATAAAAACAAAAAGGTATCCATATTGGGGGTCGTAAATGAATATTTTATTATATATTAAAAAATGCTATCGTCATTTGAAAAATCGCAGTATAGGAGGTAACAGATAACAAGACATGTTTGATTGTTTCAAGAAACGGACAGAGGTTGATTGACGATTGTTAAAAACGCAACCTCCAATTAAACCTGTCTTATTATTTGTTACATTTTCCTTTTTTTCTTTTACTGTAATTTGTGAAATTTCGATATGGTTTTTGCTTTTTCCTCTCTTGAATATTAATTTGAGACTCCCAGTTTTTTATTTTTTTTATCTTGGATAAGAATTTTAAAAATACATATAAAGTACAGTCTTATCGGTACACTATATATGTATTATGAGGATGAAAATATAGTATATGCATAACAATGAACAAACAGAAAGTGTCGTTTCAATGTGGAGAAATAGCTATAAAAATACGTGATATGTACTTATTTTTTATTGACTGATTTTTTTGCAAAAATGAGTTTGTATTTTAATCAACGTTCTTAAACAAAAGTCCTTGAAAATTGTTTATAACAGGAAATGTGTGGGCCATTTAAATGTTATATAAAATGGATGAGAGATTTTTGATTTGCTGACATGGTGGTTGAAGTGGTATGAGAAATGCTTACGCAAAACACTGAAATCACCTTTATATTTTTTTTAAATCAAAAAATAAATGTAATAACAATTTAAAAAAATCAATTGAAGAAAATTTTCAAATTTGGATTAAAAATGAAATTTAGGGTAAGAAAAAATCTTCTTCAAAATTTTATTAAATAAATTTTTTAATGCAACTTTTGTTTTATGTTAAGTTATATCTTTTACTTGACTCCTGAAATTCTCAAAGTTAGATTACTACTTTAAAAGTCAAAATTGAAGCAAAGGCGGAGGTAGCGTGTTACAGTATGGTCAGATTTTTGCCGAGAAGATATATGCTTATCTTAGCTGAGGAGAAATAGGACTGTCCGAAAGTGCATGCTTCGAACAACCGATATTCTAATTTTATGACTATCAATGTTCAACTCCTTAGCCTTGTAATTTTGAACCCGACCAAGAAGATAAGGGAACTTCCTGAATCCAGTAGTCTTTTGATAGGAGTTTTTGTTGGAACTAACTCGCATTTGCTTTAGATGAGGAGGAAAACCTCCCACGGTTAGCCTGACTGCAAGAGGATTCTGAACCATGTTCCGTCTACCACTGAAGTTATTTTACGTCGTCACTGTGGTCGATGCGATCCGGGAGCTGAGTTCGTTTCAACCAGCCACTCCTGGGATTCGAACCTAGTTATAAACAATGGGAGGTAAACGCTGTATCCCCTGAGCCACCACGACTCTTACAATTAAGAATAGAAATTCTGTAAAAAATGTAATTTTAGCTATACAATTTAAATTTCAAATGAATTGGTAAAGATATGTTCGAATAAATTAGGCCGACTGGAAATAGCTTTAAGATATAGCATTAAGAAATACGCTTTTGGAAGTTTTCTGAACATAATTAGNGCGAGCATCGGATTGCGAAGCAATCCGAAATGAACTGCGAAAGCAGTTTCGGGGGTTGGCGAGCGCTAGCGAGCAGGGGGCGAAGCCTCCTAGTATACATATATTTTAATTTTGAAAAATAAATGTAATAACTATTTGAAAAAATCACATGAAGAAAATTTTCAAATTTGGATTAAAAATAAAATTTGGGGCAAGAAAAAATCTTCAAAATTTTATTAAATAAATTTTTTAATGTAACTTTTGTTTGATGTAAAGTTACATCTTTTACTTGACTCCTGAAATTCTTAAAATTGGATTACTACATTAAAAGTCAAAATTGAAGCAAAGGCGAAGGTAGCGTGTTGCAGTATGGTCAGATTTTTGCTGAGAAGATATATGCTTATCTTAGCTGAGGAGAGATAGGGCTGTCCGAAAGTGCCAAAAGTATGCTTTGAACAACCAATATTCTAATTTTATGACTATCTATGTTCTACTCCTCAGCCTTGTAATTTTGAGCCCGACCAAGAAGATAAGGGAACTTCCTAAATCCAGTATTGAGACAAAGTAGTCTTTTGTAAGGATTTTTTGATGGAACTAACCCGCATTTGCGTTACATGGGAAGGAAAACCTCCCACGGTCAGCCGGATTGCAAGAGGATTCTAAACCATGTTCCGTCTACCACTGTAGATATTCTGCGTCAGCACTGTGGTCGATGCGATCCGGGAGCAGAATTCGTTTCAACCAGCCACCACTGGGATTCGAACCTAGTTAAACCCAATGGGAGGTAAACGCTGTATCCACTGAGCCACCACGACTCTTACAATTAAAAAAGGAAATTCTGTAAAGAATGTAATTTAGCAATACAATTTGAATTTCAGTTGGATTGGTGAAGATATGTTCGAATAAATTAGCCCGACTAGAAATAGCTTTAAGATATAGCATTAAGAAATACGCTTTTGGAAGTTTTCTGAACATAATTAGAGGGATGAGAGAGGATGTGCAAAAATTCGAAATTTTCTTATTCGTAACAATTTTACACAACTTTTTAAGGTATTACAGCAAATTTCAAGGAAGAAAAGAAAAAACGATTTACCCAAATTACCTTGAGAGGTCGATAACAAGTATTTAAGTTTTTTTTTTCTTTTTTTTTAAAGTATGAAATCAAGATCTTTGTTCACGCAGTTTTTCAGATCAATCATTGGAGTAGCTAGGCCATTTTTATGGAAGGGGGGGGGCACGCCCCTCTATCAGTTCTAAATTACTATATATTTACATAAAAACCAAGTAAAGATAAGATGTAAAACTATTATGAATTCTATAACTTACTTTTTTAACTGTTCCTAGCTCTGTTCATGCGTAGACAAAAAATATCCTTGGAAGTAAGTGCAAGGTAATATTGATTCAATTACTCTTATTATTGGTAAAAAATAATTATAGAAGATAGATTTGATTATCAGTGGGGATGGAAAACGGTTTTAGTCCAAGTTGCTTTCTTAAATCGAAGGGCAATATAATGATAAGCCACAAAAATATGATTCTAAATTGCTCAGAAAAGAATTTTCATTGGAGAAAGGACATGTTGTTAGAGGGTTTTTTTTTTTTAATCATCTGTCTGGAAATAATTTTCAACAACAATTTGGTGTAAGAATGTCACCGTTGAAATAAGTATAACCACTATATTTTCCTAAACTCTTCAACATTTCCACAAAATTTTATTATTATGTAACACCGCTGAATGATCAAGTTCGAGTTTTGTTTAGATACTATATGCAATAAGAATTTAAATAATTAAAAGAATTCTTATGGCAAACCCTTTGAAAAACCTTATTCAGATAAGGAAAGAGCTCAATCATCAGTATTTATATTTTTTGCACACAATAACATAGTACTGGTGGAAAGCGCTAATTATTTACAAATGCGTAAGCATTAAGCTTATTAATTTAATATTCTTTGTAATAGTCAAATTTTATTTTAATTAAAGATATTACTTATTTGGACCATTTTTAAAACATTTAGCGTAATTTCTAAAAAATATTAAAAATAACTCCTATAGTTTTTTTTTGTTAAGCCTACTACGAAAGTTTTGGCAAATGGAGAAAAGCGATAATTCGGGCTCTATAGTACTCAATTTTTACTCATATACCTCACTACGAAGATTTTATTTAATTTTGGTTAAGCATCTGAAACAGATTAACTTTAATGCCAACAGATGGCGCTCAGACTGAATGTATATTATGAATATTAATGTTTTTATTTTGTTTCAATTTGATTTTTATAGCTTCGATGAAAGAAGATCGTTTTTCTGTAATGTCCGTCCTCTCATTAAATTTGTTATATTATTCGAGTTCGTTTTCTTTTGAACACAAGCGAAGCAGATTTGCAGTATCGAAGTCTGGTAAATAGATAAGATCCAGGTAGGAAAGAATATTTGAACTATTTCTATTCTATTTCTTCAGCATCCAGCTGATAAAGATGATTCTGATTTTTTTTCTTAGTGAAACGAATTGGTAAATTCAAAAAAAATTTCCTTCATACTTATGTAGCTATCTTTGTACATAATTGAAACAACTTTGTTTTTCATTCAAGCAAAAATTGCATATGCTTTTGTTTCTGCCTCTACATCCTTCAAGAAGGAACATTTAATCAAAAAAGCTATGCAGCCACCATCTTGTTTTTTACTGTATTGGAAAATTAATTTTTGCAGTTCACTGATTATATAAGAGGGTTTTTTTCAAAATTTTAATTCGTCACATTGTCTTGATGTCAGAAATTTTCCGATTCAGTGGTTTAACTACTTATCGAGCTGTAATTATTCTGTTTATAATAAGAGAATAACAAAACGTTCTGTTTTACTTCTTAGTTTCAGTTTTGATTTTGTTTTAAAATTATGAACTTCTTTTGACAAATTGGTGGAAATAATTTTCATTGTAAAATTTACCTGAGTTAAAATCATCCATATCAACCTCACTGTCTTCCGGCTCTAAAGGCTTCGCAGAAGTATTTCCAGAAAGGAAAGAGCCCACAATCAAAACACCCATAGCTATGAGTATACATTTGGGTGGCATCATTACTATTTCGACGGACCCCTGAAATATATTTAAAAAGTATAAATACCGTTATATACAAGAGCATAAATGTACATTTTTATCCGCAATATAATAACGCAATGTTACTGATGTACAGAAGTTTTAACATGTAGTTAAACTTTAAAATATAGGTCTGAGGGGTCCCGCAGTGGACTGATCGTTAAGATACGGTTCCCAGCAGATCACCGAAGTCAAGTATCACTGGCTGCGGTAAGTGTGTGGGTGGGTGACCACTTGGATCAGTCTGCGTAGGGACCGAGGGTGTGCGTGCGGTATTGATCCTCGTTAAACTGTTCTACAGTAAAGTGCTCGACTTCGCATGCAGGTCGTCGGGCCACCAAAGCTGTTGAATCCCCTNTTGTGATGGCGTGTCTTCGGATCATCCTCAGGAATGTTTCCCAGACCGTCGCAAATAGCCCATTGTGCAGCTCTAGTGCGAAGTAAATGAACTACAACAACAACAATAGGTCTGAGGGGAAAAAAACCCAAAATATGGTAAAATCTACCATATTTCTGGCACTACGGGAAGGCCAGAAAACTCGGTAATTCTTACCGAAGCAGATTTTTATAAACTGTGATAAAATTTGGTACTTTTATCATTCTTACTTAGAGCATGGCATAAAAACCATTTGTTCTGTTAAATTTACTTTAAAGTTATGCATTTTTTTACTAAATCCATTGCATTGCACAATTACATTCAATTTTTTTAAAAATATTAGTGCATTCAGAATTCCTCAAAACACCAAGAAAACATTTTATTATTTTTCGATGAGTACTAATTATTTAGTTATTTTTAAGCAAAAAACGTTTACTTTTGTTTTCGTCAAAAACGGGGAGTTAGCGATTATTCACGAATTTACGTCGCCCGTGCCCATCTGCCTTTCGTGTAGAATCATTGTGCCGTGAATGCCATTACGTTTTGCTTTCGTTTCGTAATTAATTTCGTTTTTAAATGGTAAATAACTATATGAGAACAAATATATGCATGGGATGCCTGCTATTACTTATTAAAATGAGGCACTTATTAAAAAATTACTTATTAAAAAAGGAATAAAAATTTAGAAATTTAAAAATAAAAATAATTTATAGCTATAGCGAAAATTCTATTTCTTCAAAGAATAATATTGAGAATAGATATGAGCATTAATGTGTGTTTAATGATTATTATTCAGATATTAAGTATTTAATTCAGTAAAAAAAAAAGAAGAAATAAACTGCATTAGTAAATATTTACTTTAAAACATATAAAAATAAAAACTTCAACTCTAGTAAAAAAGGCAAATCTAAATTTCATAGCCCCAATGTATAAAATTAGCACATTGATTATATAGTTGATGATAGATAGATATTATGGATAGATATACTGTAATAAAAATGAAGTAAAAGGAAGTAAATCATTAATAAAAAGCTTAATCAAATATCTAGTAAAAGCAAATCTCCAAATATTTACTTCGAACTTACACTTATATCAGTGAACAAAGCACCTTTCACAACGAATTTCTACTTGGAACGTTAGGATTTATCAGATGCGTTGAAATAAAAAAGATATCAGCAGCTGAATCCGATGAATTGAAAATTCCTTAAAAATAAAAATTACAAAATAAAGATTAAACAACCATAACAGCAGAAATGAACGATAAAAAAATAAACAGAAAAAATGAAAATCTACTTAAATTTTCCTTAAATGTATTATTCGAATTAAATATATTAATAATATATTTCATATATATTGGATTTTTCGGAAAGTAATTTCGTTTTTTTCTTTTTTTTTGGGGGGGGGATGAAAGACAATTTTCGTATAATGAATAAATATTTTATTAAATTATTTATTGGCCATTCTGGTTCAATACCTTTTGCCATCTTTCTGGTAGTAGCATTATACCACGCTCATAAAAATTTTGATCTTTGCTGGCAAAAAACTGATCCAGGTGATTTTTGACCTCTTCATTTGAAGTAAAGGTTTTACAGTTCAAAACATTTTGTAGTGACCGGAACAAATAATAATCCGAAGGAGCCAGATCTGAAGAATATGGTGGGTGTGGCAGTGTATCCCATTCAAGCTGTAAAAGCTTTTGGCGAGTGACCAAACTCATATGAGGTCTCGCATTATCTTGGTGGAACACTATACCTTTTCTGTTGATTAATTCTAGTCTTTTCTGTGAAAGAGCGTCATTCAATTTGTCCAGCTGACGGCAGTAGTGTTGTGTTAAGTGCTGTGTTATCATGTAGAAACTCACAAAAACTATTCCTTTAAAATCCCACCAAAGATTCAGCATCACCTTTTTTTGATGCATATTGGCTTTCGAAATGCTTTGAGCCGGTTCACCTTTTTTTCTCCGCGATCTCTTGCGTTTGACATTGTTATAGACAACCCATTTTTCGTCCCCAGTAATGATGCGCTTCAAAAATGGATCATTTTCGTGACGTTTGAAAAGCAAATCACAGACGTCAACGCGACGACACAAATTTCTCTCCGTGTGAGAACATGGGGAATCCATATATCGAGCTTCGAAGTTAAACCCAGGACTTTCAATTGGTCATAAACTGTTGAATTCGATAAATTTAACCTCTCACCGATATCACGTGTTGTTATTCGCCGATTTGCATCAACTAATGCCTTTATCGTGTCTTTATCAACTTCAGCGGACCTTCCAGAACGTGGTGGTGTATCTTCGACATCAAAATTGCCGGATCGAAATTTCGCAGACCAATTCTGGCACTGGCGTACTGTCAACACATCTTCTCCATACACATCGATTAATTTCTTTCTGGCATAAACAGCATTTTTACCTTTTCTATAGAAAAAAAGTAAAATATGACGAAAATGCTGCTTATTGTTCTCCATATTTAAAAGGGCACCAGCCAAAAACTACTGCGTAGAATTAATTGAACTTTTTCACCCACAAGCCTTGCTATATCAGCTCTCAAAACATATAATGATAATGTGGCTTAAGTGTGAAGTTGGATTCGAAAAATACAATTAAATCCCCTGTTGGAAAAACGAAATTACTTTCCGAACAACCCGATATTATAAATTTATATTAAATATATTATTTGAATTTTATTATTACTGTACTTTATAAAATAATCTTAGAAGATAGTTACCAAAATCATACCATTTTCCTTATTCTAAATTTTAAAAGCTTCAAATCCCTAATAATTACATTTAAAATATTTTAATAATGAAATACAGGAACTTAGTTTTTTTTTTTAATATTTGTGCAGTAAGTACTAAGAGTTAATTGCATTCACAAAGTCTACAAGTTGTACAATTTAGGAAACCAGTTATACAACCAATAATATGGGGCATTTGTAATTAAGAGAATAAGAAGACCATTAGTAACCCAATGATAAAACAATTGTTTCATAGCAAAATAAGAAATGTGAAATAAAATTTTTGAACTGTTACAAGTATACAAAATTATAATAAATTGCAGATTGAACCTAACTATGTTGTTTTGTCGTCTGTCATTAAGGCAAAGGGGTGCGATCTTTGGCCAAGAATAAATAGATCATAACAGAATAGGTTGTTTAAAAATTTTACGTCGTATTTGATAATAAGAATATTGCTTTAGTTCTGCTAAATCCTGTTGATGTTTTTGCTTATCTTAACTGGTCTAGTCAATAGGATACACTAGCTCTATGAGCCCTTATACGCTCAGAAAAACGAGAAGGGGTCTTCATCTCAAATTCCAGACAGGAGAGGTGTGGAAATTAGAGAATAGTTTGTCTCAAGAAAGAACTCCCCTAGCCATTCGTCTTGACTCGTGGTGGTGACTATGATAACGAGATATAACTATTTCAAGTAAAGGTGTGGGGTCACGGTTTAGGACAGGTTTTGGCTTAGGTTGGCGAAAAGAGGAAATCTTTTTCTTTAGCCCCTAGAGTGAAGAGAAGCTACCCTTTCTGAAGTGAGCTATTCTTGTTACCGTAGCAGCAGACGGCCTCAGACTTTCTGGCGAGGGGAGTTCTTACAGTAGAGAAACTATATTGCATTTTTACTGTGTCCTTATACGGGATGAAGGGTGGAAATGGTTTATGTCCATTAAACGTTATTCTGGGGAAAAATTAATTTCAAGTTTTGATAATTTTCAGTAGCAAGCGTGAGAATGAAATTGTAAAAATCTACTCAAATGTTAACCGTTTTGTCCGCAAAATTCCCCTCCCCAATGGATACTTCCTCACTAGTATCGTTACTGTCGTTTTCTTTCTGCCTCTCTTCTTTTCTTCTCATGAAACTGATTCAAAATCGGTGATTTTTCATAAAATTCTCGTGACTCCGTTTGCTCCAAAAAGTTTTTCAGGAACTGTAAATCTTGATGTTTAACAGCCTTTATACGAACACTAGTGTTTAAATTTTTCTTTTGGGGACGCTTTCCCTCTGTGTTACCTGAGTTAATGGCTTATTAATATTCTTTTCAATCCTGAAAAAAACTTGACAGATGGAACCGCTTTCTTTATATTTATTTTTCGCACTGGGTTAAAGGAAGCAGTGTGTAGTTGGCGTAAAAATTCGTTTTGAAGAATATCTTAAAATCATCTTTACTCACCTTATTGCCCAGTACAAAATGTGCATTTTTCAGGGTAAAAACCGAATAAATGTTCCGTCTAATTTAAATATTCTAGCTGCTTACGCTAAGTTCTAGTTGCAACTACCAACGCATGCCAGTTTGGATATTTCATAATTATATAACCGTCGTTGAACAGCCGACCCAATTTTTGGTTTGCAACTACCACTGTTTAACTCAATAGCCTCGTAATTTTGAACCCAATCCTTCAGACAAGAGAACTCCTGGATCAAGTATTGGGAGAAATTTCCATTCTTGGAGGACTTTTTTTTATAAAACTAACTCGCCTTTGAGTTATATGGAGAGGAAAACCACGTATCCCGAATCACCGGATTGGGGGGCGAGTGTTTTATCTCGAGCCACCACGGCTGTGCAAGTTTGGATAGAAAGCATTGTTCCCTAGTCAATTTCTCCAGTACAGCTAATCTTCATTGTGTAATAACTTTCGGAGAAACAAGATTTTCACTTAATCTTCAGTACTTATTGTGCAATCATTGTTACCAAAAAATTATATAAGTAGCTGAAGGACTGTACTTTATTTTTAAAATATTTCAAATGTAATTGTCAATGATCTATGAATAATAAAAATTTAAAAAGTGGCACGATTTAAGCAACTCTTCTTTAAAGAACATACAAATGTATAACTTTCTTGAGGATGAAAATTTCTTTATTGTTATTGTTTCCGTAATGTTTTCTTTTTTTTAAATTAGCTACTTTTTGTTCAGAAATATAACAATTAAAAAAAATTAAAGGTTCTAATAACAGAGTTCGATTAACAGTTAGTAATTTTTTTAGCTAAGAAATATAAAATCATTTAGCTAAGAAATATAAAAAAAATTAAAATTTCTAGTAACAGATAAACGTAATAACAGTATAAATGATGTCAAAAAAGTATTTAATGCATGGAATGCAGATTGCCCAAAACGATAAATGGATCACCCTAAACAACTTTTGATTTCATGATCAGATCTTTACGTTATCGACACAATTTTATTGATAAAAATTACGATTTGTTTAAAATTCGATTTCTCAGAAACTATTCAGCCGAGTTTGCTCACATTTTACATTTGGCCATGTTATACAAAATTTGAGCAAACACTCTTTAAAATGATGTAAAAATTTCGATCAAAAGTTACCCTTTTTTTTCGCGCACTGTACAATAACGTTTTTAAAATTTATTATAAATGTTTTTGTTAACTCCCTGAAACGTAGATGTATCTGCTATTCTGTTTTCACTGTTAAAATTTTTTATTTTAAGGCTTTTTATGTCGAAAAACTTTTACGTATGAAATAAAAGCACTGTTCATCTAACAAATTTACACTGTTCATCAAACAAATTTACACTGTTCATCAAACAAATTTACAAAAGCGCTGTTCATCTAACAAATTTACGCTGTTCATCTAACAAATTTACACTGTTCATCAAACAAATTTACAAAAGCGCTGTTCATCTAACAAATTTATAAGGGATGTACGATAAAATCATTATTAAATTTTATTCTTCGATACTACCTCCTAACTTAATGATGAATATCTTAATACACTTTTAATGTTTTTCTTCGTTTCACTTTCAGGATTCAAGTCCCAATCTCCCGTGACACAATCCATTTTGACAGACTCTTTTTTATTAAAATAGCGTAATTTTCATTTAAAAAAATATTTCTCGAAAAAAATTTCTTTTTCGAGTTTTGTTACATTAACTTTTTTCTTCAGCATTGCTCATAAATAATTAACTTGTATTAAATATTTAATTCTATAGAAGTTCCGCAATGTTGTGATACCGTAATTGCATCACAAAAACATTTACAAGAGCTTAAAAAAACGTTTTTAACGTGTTCTAAAAATATTTTTGAAACTCAATTTAACTTATTAACATTTTCCCATCCACTCTTAACGATAATATTAAATAATACATAAACTTACTCAATGTTGAAAATGCCTGGCCTCGTTCGCTACGGTGAAAAATAACGTTTAAAACAAATAATTGACGTTAATTTGCGAATTGATTATTTATTCAGAACTGATAAAAAGTTAGAAAACCTTGTTGATCTTACACCGGATCTTAAATACGTATCTTCGAAAAACGAACCAATAAAAATCAGATCTTTAAAAAAACGGATATGTCACTTTAAACACGTATTAGCTGGGCGTAGCTGATATGGTTACATTTCAATGATGTATAAATCAGTTAAAAACACACCGTTATTTTTTATAAATTTCTGCAATTAAAAATTCATTAATAAAGGTTATACAACTTTTAAAAAAATAAACGCAAACAAAAATAGAAAATTACAGGCGCAAGAATTTTTTTTTCTATACTTATGATAGTGTTTGCCATATTAAATTTTTTTGGCATTCTTCTAAAAGAGCATTGTATACTTCTAACAAGATCTTTTAGAAGTCTATTATTCTTTTTAAAATGTCTCTAGTTGTATTTTATGTAAGTTATACACGTAATTGATGTAAGACATTATTCAAGGTCTTTATTTATCCAGTCAACTATTTGTTTACTTTTGACAATAATAATAATGAGTATGTTTTTTTTTTACTTTAACCTATATGTGCATTAAAGCGAGGAAAATATGAAAAACTTGAAAAGTGTTACTTATTGCTATTTCTACAGGGGAAACACCCAATGTTTAAGTGCTTTAATTTCCTGTAAGCCGAGCTTGAAATAGTGGTAGAAAATACGATTTTTAGTAAAGAAATGTGCATTTAGAAAAAAAAATTGTTCAAAAATGCGCTAAAACATTTTAAAAATGCTGTAATAAAACTTGATTATTATTTTTTGAAACACAGGAACAATATTACAACAGAAATACAAAAGAGAATCAGTATAGTCAATAAATGTTTTTTATGGAATTCGAAAATACATAAAATCTAATGTAATTCATAGAAAAACAAAAGTTTCCTTATATAAAAATCTTTTACGATCAATTTTAACATATGCTTGTGAAACCTGGACCATAATCTGTGCGGATAAGGCTATGTTGGGTACCTTTGAGAGAAAGGTATTGAGAAGTATTTTTGGAGGAATTCAAAAAAATGGTGTGCAGCTAAGAAGAACAAATTTAGAACTTTACAACTCATAACCTCAATCTGAAATTATTAACTTCATTAAACGACAAAGAATAAAATGGACAGGCCACGTTATCGGAATGAATGAAGACCGTAACACAAAAAGTGTTTTCAATGCCAGATCAGTTGGCACACGAAAAAGAGGCAGGCTGAATTTGGATAGGGAGCCTAGAAGAAGACCTTTGATCTTACAAACTAAAAACTTGAAAACGCTTGCAGGAGAAAGGCTAGTCTGGAAAAAAAACTTTTTAAAAATGCCAAGGCCCACCCTTGACTGTCGAGCAATTGATGATGATTATTGCTTTCGAATTATGCCCAATTATTGCATTAAAATGATACATTTTAATATTTAGCAATTTTTATAGTGTATTTCATCATATTTCAGGTATGAAACAAAATCTGCTAGACACAAATAATAAGATATTTAAATGCCATAAAACTATCCTAAAGATTACTTGAATCGATTTCATTTATTATATTTCTTCTAATTTTTCATTGTAATAAAAAACTCTGACTGACAAGAGAAAAACCAATTATATTTTTACTTGGACAATTGCTTTACAAAAGCATATAAGCAGAGAAAAAAATATCTTTAAATATTATTTCCGTCATCAGTATTCATATTTATATTAAAACCACCGGCCAAGATAGTAATTACGAATAAAATAATAATGAAAAGACAAAAAAAAAAACATAAAATTAATATTATGCAAAAACATTTAAAATTCACGCATGCGTAAATGAAACGAAAAAACTCAGTCGGGAATGAAACTCCGTCTGAAAAAAAAAGTCTCCATGAAGTTTCAAAACTATAGTCTTCTCTTTTTTTTCTTCTTTTTGCCTTTTTTTTTATCTTGTGTTTGTCTTTTTATTAATGCTTATGTAAACCTAATTTTTTGTAATACTTGCAACTTTTTATTTGTGATTACGGTATTGAAGTTGATCGAGTTGAAAAGTATGCGAACGAGGAAATCCTAGAACAACACCTATTTTCCCGATGAATAAAAAAAAAAAAAAATCATCGAAGGAGAAAATGACTTAAATATTTTAAGAGTTAATGAGCAATTTTGAAAATCACCAATTTTTCGAGACTTTTCAACCTAGATAAAAATGATTTCTAAAATCTACGAACAGTTTACAATTTTTGCAAATTTTTATGAAACATTGCAGCTTAAAAGCAACTTCTTAAACATTAAAAAATCAAACAACAAAAGCTTTTCTTTTTTACGAAACTGTTACTTATCTTCAAGTTCACGCATTACGTCATTTTCATTTATTAAGATAACTTAATCAGGAACAACTTTTCTGAACTCGCAACAGCTGTAAAAATATCATGCTATTCTCTAAAAAGAATTATTTCTTGAGATGTCTTAGCCTTCCAGAATAAACGTCATTTTTGTAAGACTTTTCAATAAATTTTTTGCACAGTTTTTTTCTTATTCATGACTACCATAATTTATAATAGTTACTAATTCATAATTTACAGGTAGAATCATGCTTTTCTTTTCTTACAATATTCCACTCACTAACTCCGGTGGTGATAATTCCTCAATCATTATTGTTCATTTCCTGAAGGTCGATATTTCCTACAGAAGCAAAGAACATTTTTTTGAATGAATAGTATAGTGATTATAATTTTATATAAAAGCATTTTGTTAATAATTTTATATAAGAAAATCATTGCTCATTTCCTAAAAGTTGATCAAAACAGAAAGCTGTGATCAAAGCAGAATTATTTTCTTCTCCTTTCAAATGTAGTTTTAAAATTTTTCGTTTTTACTCATTACTATTATCAGGGCTAGGATGTTGATGATAAATACATTTTTTAACCTTTATGGAGAATTATAGATACTCTTTTGATCATTTTTATTTTTTCTTTATTTTTAGTCCTATTGTTATCAACTATGGTGTTTTTTATTTTGTGGAAATTTGCTTGCAGATTAATTTTTTCCTTTATAAATTATCTGCCAATTATGCATGGAATCTTGCTGTTTCAAATATACTCTAGAAACAAATTTTGATTTCGATCGGAATTTTTCAGGATAATTTACTTTTAATCAAAAGGCGTTCTTTCGATTTTAACAATATTAAAAAGCATTTTATGCAGCTCAAAAAGATTAAAAGATTACTTTTTATAAAGATTGTAACTAAAGAATAATAAATTCTTATTTATCTTTATCAGGTATGTATTTGAATTTTATTTTATTGTTACATTTTGTTTTATTGTTTATTTTAATTACGACTTATCAAACTTATAAACGCTGATTACTATTTATATTTTTTTTTCAAAAATCACAAATAGTAAACATGGCGCCGAATATTTAAAGGACATTATTTGATTTTTGAAGACTTTTTTTCCCCCTTTTTGCATTTTTTAACAATTTTTAGGTCATTAAAATTCCAGCCAGGATTATTATTACATGGAAATTATATTTATTTGAAAATAATTTAGTTACTATGGGAGAGTATATTTATGAACAATGTAAAGAAATATGTGAGTAGCATAATTTGTGGTAATGTGTTTAATGAATAGTAATGAATACATTTCTCTGCAAATAAATGTTTTTAACATATTTAAAATATCACTTGCTCATGATTAATATGCATAAATTTTTTTTTAACAAAACCACAGTTCATTTTAATAAATGATAAGAGTAAAAAAGATGAAATCTTCTTCCTCTTTTGTACTTTTTTCTTCAAATATAATCAGTTTTCTTCCTTCCGCAAAGTATATTCGAGAAGTTCTTAGATCCTGTGAAATAAATAGGAGGAAGGAAATAAACTTTTATTCAGAACGAGTATCCAGTCGAACAGTTTATTTTTTATACTTTAGCTCAAATAAGTGTTCTAAAAAAATACACAAATCTTAAGGAAATTAATTCTGTATCAAATTGACTGCAAAAATTTAATGTATTGCAGTTCAAAACATTCTGATCGAAAGTTCTCACTTACCAAAAATTAATAGTAGTTGCACATAAGCATATAACTATCTTCCATTATTAATATTATTTACATTTTGTTGGGTTGGTCTATTCTCTGTGTCATAGATACATTCTATTAACTTCTTAGATGTAAAAACCGTGCATATCCTAAAAACCATATAACACTCGCAATGTGTACGCTACTGTCCAATGTCTAATTCCGTGAGCAAGCTAACTTCAAGCATCTTACACCATAGTGACCGATTCTTAGATTTCTTATGTGTATATATATATCTTATGTATATTTTAGTTCTCATGCCTATATTTGTTATTTATTGATTCCGTATCTCGAAAACTATTCATTTTTAGACTTTGTGTCAACGAAAACTTTTGCTCATAATGTTTCGATCAAGAACATGTTAAATTTTCAGCCAATTTGGCAGAGAATTAATTTCTATAAGATCTGTGCTGGTTCCTTTAATAACTCTTGTCATTAAAGGAATAGATTTTTATTTCCTTTCTCTTAAACTGTAAGAACCTATTTTAGTTAAGACTTGATCCATTAAATTTGTGCGTGGTCCTTTTATAATTCTTATTATTAAAAGAATTAGCTTTTTATTCCTTGTTCGGTGTCTTTCTTTTAAACTACAAGAACCTATTTCAGTTAAGATTTAATCCATAAGATTTGTGCGGGCTCCTTTAATGACTCTTGTTATTAAAGGAATAAATTTTTATTTCCTTGCGCGGGGTCTTTTTCTTAAATTTTAACAACCTATTTCAATTAAGATTTGATCAATGAGATTTGTAGGGGGTCATTTTATAATTCTTATTATTAAAGGGATTAAGGGGCCTGGATAGCCTGGTTGGTAGGGCAATGAACCCATGTCCAAGAGGTCGTGGGTTCGATCCCCGCCGGTCAAAGACTCTCCATGTGGTAAATAGTGACTGATGCCTGTTAAATCTGTCGAGTCACAAAGACATCCATGTTTCCATAACAAATCATACATCAGGGGGGCACTGATCCAGAAGTTTCCTTGCCTTTGGATTGGTTCAGAATTTCAAAGCTACT